CTATCTGCACTTAAAGCCTGGTATCGCATAGATATGACTAACTATAAACCTACTATATTTAGATAACCTTCGTAGCTTTTAAATTATTCTCATTTACAAATTCCAACTTATTCACAATAATTTTACAAATTACAACATTTCTTGTAATATTTCTTTATTTTTTTTAAACAAAGACATTTTCAGTTTTCATTAAAGGTTTTAAAATTAAGCTTCTGAAGATTATTGAATTTTTCATTTTTTAATTTTTATCCAATATTTACAAATTAATTAAATAAATTATTTTTCTATTAATGTTCAAAATATGTCAAGTCTCAATTATTTATTTATTACAAAAATTAAATAATTTTATTTTGAAAAAATGTAATGAAAATAGTATTATAGTTTGTACTAAGAATTAGTAATAGTGAGTTTAATCACAGGAAATTATGATGAGCATTATTGAACTTAAAACTTGTTCATAGCTGTTCATATTTTGTACATAGAAGATATTAATAATAAACTAAATATTTCATTCAAAGTTAAGTTTAATTGTAACTTGTGATTATGTTTTTTTTCTAATTGAAGTTAATAAAAATGGTTACATTTATGTACACACCGAATTAATAGAAGTAAAATTAGTGTGTATTAAGTTTATTACAAAAATAACTTGTAATGACGATGTTTATAGTCAGCGTTTATCAGAAGTTAATAAAAATACACCTTAAGTTTAGTGCAAGAATGGCAATAGCTTGTGATAATGATGTTTGAAGTAGTTAAACTTGAATGGAGCAATTACGCGATATATTTATGTATGCCATATCCATAAGACGATTGGAGATACATTTATGTGCGGACAAAGGGAAGTCATCCAATTCCTCCGATGCGAATAGCAGACCGACGAACTTCGATTTTCAGCTTATCTCGAATACGTATATAATAATAATAATAAAGCGAATCGCAAATATTTGCATGGATTTTCATCTGCGACGGATAAATCCGCCGCAATCCGCGACTTTGAGCGCTTCATCCGCATGCAACTTAACGCCTGCCTCGCGAATCTAATTCAGACTTCTGCGGGCGGCTGCAACTCATTAAAAGTTACGAAATCCTCGCGGGCCTCCAAATTTATTAACATTTATTTGCCACCTCCCAAACTGCATTGAATCCACGAAAAACTTCGATCATCACGATGATGATTAATTCATTCATTAGTTAATTACTGTAATTGATTCATTCGGCTTCGCGTGATTTTCGCTGCCGTTTTCGTTGCATAATCGACGCTAATGGTCGGCCCTAAGGGCGAAAACTCGTTAACCGGCCGTATTTTAATTACTACTCTAAACAATGCAAGGTCACGGTTTTCTGTGAAAAACGGTACTTTCATTAATGTTGCATTAACTGTAATAAAAAAGCATAATTTCTTTGATGTGCTTCGCGGCTACAGGATGCTGAAAAACGGGATGGACAATAGGACAATGAGCGTCGAGTGCGACGGCACGGGCAGATTGTGCAGGGAGTAATTACTGCCGGTAATTAATATTTATTCATCCGCGATGGAATCGTTTTCACGAGAAACGCGTTAAATTGCACGCAATTAGGTTTTAGTTCAATCGGCGTGGCTCATTTCGTGCACCAATCGTTTAAAAATTTTAAATTTTATATTATTAATGCACCTTTAAAACGGTACACCACAACAATGATAAAATAGAACACGACAAAACCGAACAGTGACAAAACAGAACATCCCTCATTTTACACGGTACTTTTTTTACACGTTTTCGTTGAAACTGGCTATGAACAATTGTTTTGCCTTTCAATATTTTTCTGTGATTTATGTTTTTGATATAATTAATAAACAACGAAATTATGCGTTTTTTTGTGCATACTTTTCGATTTACATGGTTTTACATTCAAAAAGTTACAATTTCGATTTACACTTTTTTCCGTGCAAAACAGTTATTTTAAAGTAAATTAAATTTTTTTTATTTGAAACAAATACAAAATTATTCCATTTTTTATATTAAATTGTATATACTTTATCAATGAAAACAAGTATATTTTTGCAAACTTCTCGAGTTACACGTTTTTCTCTGAAACCTATCATGTAACCCTCCTAGTTACACGATAAGTGTAATATATATTTGTATTACACCAAAAATCTTTTCGCCCTAAAAAAATATATTTTATTGAAATTTTACATATCACTTAATTCTGATAAAATATAATAAATTTGGTTAATACAAATTTAAATTCACATTTTTAAATATATGTCAATTCTACCCATATTTATAAAAAAAAGTTATTTTAAAGGAAATTCACAAAATTTCATGTGAAACATTACAAAATTATTATATATATTATATTTATATTAAATTTTATAGACTTTATCAATTGAAAAAAGTATAAAGGATTATATAATATGCAAGTGATATTTGATTTGGCTCAATGCAAATATTGAAACTCGATTTTAATAAAAATAAATCCATATAACATGTACATACAAACGATATTGAATCTTCTGCTTTGATATATTTAATAAAATCCACGTTCCAGTGAACGTAATATATTTTGTTATTTAATAGAATTTCTTTGGAATCGAGATGATTACGTCGTGGCATTTCATCCGCAAATCTTTTATTCTATTATATACATGCTTAGTTCAATAAGAATTTGATACCGGTTAGCATGTAATTCAATACGTGTAAATATATCAACTGGGTCAGTTGTAGTCCAATCAAAGATCCAATTAATGTGGACTAATAATTGTCAGGTGATAGATTTCCCAGCTATATACTAATCATATCCAGTACACAACAACGATCAATTTGCCAATGTAAACTTTGAATTTCAATACGACGTGGGTTTATATTTCAGTAAATTCACCTTATTTTCCATTAAGTTTGACCCACCCATTTGAATATTAAGTCTTACGACAACAATGAAAGGATCTCTACGTAATATCAATCTCTGTATATAAATATATATATTTACTTATTAGAATTTCAAATTAGTACAGAAGCAACAAATCCAACCTGCAAGCAAAATAAGATTGCAAATTATCTGTTCGAGAATAACTTTGCACATATTAAGCAACTTATTTTGTTTTTTGTTACTTCTCCAACTGCATATTTCCTCCCCCACCTACGCGAGATCTCACGATAAAATACAAATGAATATTCATCCCCCCTTGGAAAAATACCGCAGCAGTGTGTTTCATGTTCGCAGCAGTACTTTTATTTTTATGTATCCTTCTACTTCGCATCCCCCTGTCGACGAAGAAGTAGCTCCAAAAACACACAGCGGAATAAATAATAATTAGCGTGTAATTAGGGGTGCAGAATGAGTTGCCGCAATTCTCTTTTTGCCAGGGGCGTTGTTATTTAATCAGGGGAAGTTTCAGCTGAAGGAGTTGAATGTTCGTCCACCACATTACGTTTATCATCCGTTTATTACCAAGCAAATGGAAACAATTTTTTTTTTTTAATTATTATGCGAAAAGGGCTTTGTTCATTTAATTACTTGCATTATTGAGGGGCGAGGATACACGCAGTTTGCAAATGCGTTTCCGTTTTTCTCTCCCTTTCGATGTTCCTGTTTCGTTTAATTAACTGCCAGAATGCATAATAATAACCGGTGTCTTTGATGCTACGCGGCATAGGGAAAATGCCTCAGAGATTAATTAAGATTTTTTTTAAAGAAACGAGTATTAATTGAATGCTTCAAGTGGTCATAGCAGGCTTCACTCCAACATGGAAAACTTATATATTGTGCTTTCGCATTTTATGGCTTGTTTTAAAGAGAAAAAAAGGGAAGAGTTGGATCTTTCGGATAATTTTCTATTGTGAACTCTAATCAGATTTGTATAAATAATCATTATAAATATAAAAACTGATATCTGAAGGATTTCTTCAGAAACGTTGTATTAATGTTTCAGTTTGCAGTATTTAAAGTAGTTAGAGTTGAATGTAAATAGGATTTCAGGATGAGATAAATAGAATTAAGTGAATTGAAAAACTGATAACGAAATCGCAATGTCTAAGGAAAAAACTAACGATAACGCAACTTAATGCAAAAAAAGTCGACGTTGAATAATTAACAAAGTAAAAATCTGATTAATTGAAAAATCCTTAACGAAGCTCGTAATTAAATGAAATCGTTCCGAAACGCCAAGCGTAGAGGCTAAGTAGGTCATTATACCCATGCTAGGGGTTATAAAACGCAATAATAATATTATGGGGGAGGAAAAAAGAAGAAAAAGAGAAGCTCTCGTTTTGATGCAATTGGCATTTGGAAAGTTCGCGTGAGGGGTTTTTGCGGTAGAGTGGAGCTATCGATTTCGCCCGATTTTTGTGTCGAATTGTATCTATTTTTAGAAACGTGAGACTTAGAAGAGGTGCGAATTGGGGGGAGGACAGTTACGCAACATTGTTCTTTAACATTTACGAAAAATCTTTGCTCTTCGCTCCGCTGATCCTTTACCGCAGAGGTTGTTATCCGCAGCAAGTCGGTATTGATTTTCTGCAAAGACTGGTTTGGTTAATTAAGGATAAGAACAAAGAAAAAAAAGTATAGAAACAAATGTATCTGCATAATGAGGAAATGACATTAATTTGGTAGCTGTAGGGAGAATAATCGAGTCTAGGCAATTATTGGAGAACTAATGTTCATAGGCAACCTGACAACCTGAGTATATAACAATTAATTTTGCACGGGATTCCATTTAAAAGCCACCTACCTACCTACCATACAGAGGCAGCCGACGCAATGGCTGCAGTGAAAAATTTAATTAACGTCTGCATGACGCAATTTATGCACAATGGGTTCCTTTGAAGCGAGCAATCGGAATAATTAAAACTAAAATGTATTCAAGCATAATAGATTCCCTTTTCGCGAGGAAAACGTTTCACTACATTCATCAAACACGCGTTTACCGCGCGCCACCTTTAACGCTCGATCGCATCGCGTCCTGGATGTTTCTTTCTTCTTCAAAGTACATTGTTCCTTAACTCTCCGCCAACTAGACCCTTCGAGTACTTGATCTTACTGACGATTTTCGCAAACTGTGTTGCCTTAGCCGTCTACACGCCATTTCCCGGTGGTGACTCAAATGCTACGAACACAATACTGGTAAGTAACTTCATCTAAAACTGCATCGAATTTATACTAATATGAACAAATCGTTGGCAATTATTGTTTGCAGGAAAAAATTGAATACGTATTTTTAGTAATATTCACGGTAGAATGCGTGATGAAGATTATTGCGTATGGTTTTATGATGCATCCTGGTGCTTACTTGAGGAATGGATGGAACTTGTTAGATTTTACAATTGTAGTTATAGGGTATGTATTGTACTTGTAGCAGGATGGATTTCACTCACTCACTTTCAATGTCTATCCTATTTTCAGAATGATCAGCACAGTGTTACAACATCTCATAAAGGACAGCTTCGATGTGAAAGCTCTGCGAGCTTTCAGAGTCCTTCGACCTTTAAGACTCGTTTCAGGTGTTCCCAGTACGTTTTTGCAGCTTAATTCCCCGTGAGACACGCGTTTCTAGCAATTTCGTTCTGTTTTCTGCTTGCAGGTCTACAAGTCGTACTCAACTCGATTCTTCGTGCCATGGTGCCTTTATTACACATTGCTCTTTTAGTATTGTTTGTCATTATTATTTACGCCATTATTGGGTTAGAATTATTCTCAGGAAAAATGCATAAAACTTGTTATAACAATATAACAAGTAAGTTGAAATCGATGCGTTCGGTGAGGGCATGTAATGATGGATTGATTTTAGATGAAATTATGGATGAACCCCATCCTTGCGGCGACACGGGTTTCAATTGCTCGGAAATCAATCCGGATATGGTTTGCAAGGATGGTTGGGAGGGGCCAAATTTTGGAATTACTAACTTTGATAACTTTGGATTATCTATGTTGACCGTTTTTCAATGTATTACTCTAGAAGGCTGGACCGATGTGCTTTACAACGTGAGAACGAGTATAAAAAAAATTATATCAATTATGAAAATGCATTTGTTTCATCCAGATTCAAGACGCGCTGGGTAGAACTTGGCAATGGTCATATTTCGTTTCCATGGTGATATTCGGGGCATTTTTTGTCATGAACCTGATTCTCGGTGTATTGAGCGGGTGAGGACCTCGGAAATGATCGCTCATTAATTTTAAAAAATACATTGAATTTTCGTTGTGCTTTCACAGAGAATTCTCCAAGGAAAGAGAAAAGGCTAAGGCCCGTGGTGATTTCCATAAGTTGCGCGAGAAGCAACAGATCGAGGAAGATTTACGCGGTTACCTCGATTGGATTACCCAGGCAGAAGACATAGAGCCCGAGGGCGAGGACCAAATCACCCAGGACACCAAGGTGAAGGTTATCAACGAGAAGGATTCGACCGATCAATTAGGTGAGGAGGACGAAATACCGCAGGAATCGTGGTTCAGCAAGAAAAAGAAGGATTTCGATCGGATAAACAGGCGAATACGACGGTCCTGCCGCAAGGCAGTCAAGTCACAGGGTTTTTACTGGCTCATTATAGTTCTCGTTTTCCTGAATACTGTTGTATTGGCGACTGAACATTACGAGCAACCCTATTGGTTAGACGATTTTCAAGGTAACTACTCCATCAAACCGAAGCCAATTACCACTAACTCACTTCAATTTCTCTTTCATTTCAGAATATACAAACATGTTTTTTATCGCACTTTTTACATTGGAGATGTTATTGAAGATGTACAGCTTAGGTTTTCAAGTATTGATCGCATTCACCTCGCAGCGGAATGCCTTTGTAATTAACGAATATTTAATTTGCAGGGTTATTTCGTTTCATTGTTTAATCGATTCGATTGTTTCGTTGTAATTGGAAGCATCACCGAGACCGTTCTTACTAGGTCCCAAATAATGCCACCTCTAGGTGTATCTGTTTTGCGCTGCGTTCGTTTGCTGAGAGTTTTCAAAGTTACCAAGTACGTCAATAGCACTAAAGTTTACCGAACCAAATGCCATTACCGTTTCCGTTTTGCAGATACTGGAGATCTCTCTCAAATTTGGTCGCATCTTTATTGAATTCTATCCAATCGATCGCATCTCTTTTGCTGCTTCTTTTTCTGTTCATAGTGATATTCGCATTGCTGGGCATGCAAGTGTTCGGTGGTCGCTTCAATTTTAATAGCACACAAAACAAACCGAGGTCCAATTTTGATAGTTTCTGGCAGAGTTTGCTCACCGTGTTCCAAGTAAGATCATTACGATGCAATGAATCGCTTAATCCCCTTTTAATTTTCATAGATATTGACCGGCGAGGATTGGAACGTAGTCATGTACGATGGTATTTTGGCTTACGGTGGTGTAGCCTCCTTCGGTATATTGGCTTGCATATACTTTATAATCCTCTTCATCTGTGGTAACTGTATCCTTTAAGTAACACTTAAAAATTAATATGTAATTAAATATAAAGAAACATCTACTTGTATCTACCTTGACTCGTTAACTTCAGATATTTTGCTAAACGTTTTCTTGGCTATCGCCGTCGACAATTTAGCCGATGCTGAGTCTTTGACTGCAATCGAGAAGGAAGAGGAGGAAGCCGAAGCAGAAAAACAGAACAAATCCAAAAGTCCGACGCCCGTGCAAGATGAAGATATGGAGGAGCATAGCGTTGAAGAGGAGGAACCAGAGGACGCGCAATACGATACGGAAAGGTAATTTGAAATGTTTGTTTTGATAAACAGTAGTACGCAGTGGGAGTGCTTTAATATGTGCATTGGTATGCAACACTACTAGCAAATTCGCACTTTCATAAACTTAGAGGAAACTGCTGACGTCAAGAAAACTTTCCCGAGACTTTCCCGATTAAGCAGTAAGACAATATTTGCGCCGAGCTGCAAATGTTATTTTCTAAGATTACTAGGAACAAACGAATTTATAAATTAGTTTTGCTTTGTTTTATTGACTGCTTAGATCTGATCACGATGATGAGGAACTGGAAGAGGAGGAGGAGGAAGAAGAGGAGGAGGAAGAAACGGAGTCACACACAAAGATCAGTTTGAACAACGGGATCAACGATTCTGAAGAGCAAATAAACAACGATCCAGGTAGGTCTAATTGTTGTTGGTTCGGTGGTAGTGCTTTTGTTAGTCATGTACAGAGCTTTGGTCAAAAGTTTGGTTGAACGTTGTTCGGAAAAGAAACCGTTGTTCGATATGATTTTCAGAGGAATTTGAAGAAATTAGGGAAACGGCGAGGCCTCGTCGTTTATCAGAGGTTAACATCGTAACCAAAGTCCGACCGATACCAGAAGGAAGTGCCTTCTTTATATTTTCGAGTACGAACAGGTAGGCCCCTTAGAACAGGGCATAGTTGCTGAAGATGGGATTTTTAATAATGTATTGGCATTTGTATTCGTTCATGATGATCATTGATCTTTCGCGTATCCCATACAGACTTCTGGCAGCTGTGTCATAACAAGATCTAGTATTAAGGTAGCCTGCACACTTAATTTCAGATATGGACGATGCCGATATTGGTGATGTCGGAGCTCGGCCGCGGCGGTTGTCTGAATTAAAAAGTAGCTCCAAGAAAGTGCCGATTCCTCCGGCGTCGTCCTTCTTCATTTTCTCCCCCACAAACAGGTGATCTCGGTAGTCCGGTGCCCTAGTAGTTGGATTGTTAGAGCTTGTGACCCCGTACGACCCGTAGTTAACCCTTCGCACGCCCCAAATATTACGTAGTAGACCCTGCGCACAATTCTCAATTTAGATTAGATTCTAAACTACCACATAAACAAAACAATACAAACACGCACGAATGGAAACGAAACAGAAATGCTAATTCCCTTAGATCTTTTTACGTATTTTCTTTTAACATTTCAGCTACAATTGAAACTCGACGAGACAAAGTTTTAATTTAGTTTACTTTATCCAAATAGCGCACATAGAAAACTAATATATTTCTTATTGATCCGGCATAGGTTTCGCGTGTTCTGCCATTGGCTATGCAATCATAGCGTATTTGGTAACATCATCCTGGTTTGCATTATGATCTCCTCCGCTCTGTTGGCCATGGAGGATCCAATAGAATCAAAATCTCGTATGAATCAGGTAAATGAAAGAAGATCAAACATCAGCTGCTCATCAATTTAGTATCATTCCAGTAATCAGTAATCTTTTAGGACTTACTCTATCAGAGTCTCTCAACTTTTACAACATCTTGCGATTGAGAGTAATTCAGGTTAAATGTTGAGAACTGTAACATCCTTAAATTGGTGATCGCCAATATTAAGATTATCCTTTAATTCATTGGCGATTACTTTATTATATTCCGTTATTTTTAATATGTTTTTTTTTTGTTTTTTTATTTGGCAGATGTTGGTTTGGTGCGATTACTTTTTCACGACCATATTCTCTACGGAACTACTACTCAAGACTATATCTGACGGTGTCTTTCTACATGATGGTGCCTTTTTACGGTCGGCCTTCAACGTTCTGGATTTGGTAGTCGTTTGCGTCTCTCTCATTTCTATATTCAAGTAAATATTTCTACTGTACTATATATTATCAATGTTGATCAAATTGATGAACTCGTATGCCGTTGCCATTTTCGTTTTGATTGTGCCGTTTTAGGTCGACGAGAATGGACTTTCTCGAAGATTTTCAAAACTTATCGTTTCGCGGATGGTCGACTTGCAAAAATTAATCTGTGCATTTGTGTCTGTGTGTGTTTGTAGTCAAGGAGGAGCGATGTCGGTGGTGAAAATCCTGAGGGTGCTGCGTGTGTTGCGTCCATTGCGTGCGATCAACAGGGCGAAAGGACTGAAGGTAACGAATCCGGCCCTGGGGCGGGTCATCTCTTTTTTTTTTGCATAATACAATAAATTTAGGTAGCGTGGTGGCGGAGGCAGGACCGCATAAATGCTCTCTTACTTATGTCTGTCCCTAGCATGTAGTCCAGTGTGTGATAGTCGCGGTTAAGACCATCGGCAACATAGTGCTGGTTACCTGCCTCCTACAGTTCATGTTCGCGGTAATTGGAGTCCAATTATTTAAGGTAGGCACCAGCAGTCCGTTGTTGTTTATGAGCAAATGCACCTATGGGTACCTAAAACTTGGCCTCTCACAGTATTAACCCCAGTCTCTCAAAGCCGGGCGCCACCAGTTGGAACCGATGGCGGACCGCCAAGTACCCCCCCAAAAAACAAAATTAACAGTACCAAACCACCACCAACCAGAACTTCACCCGCATGTCCTGCTGTGTATCCAGCTGTGCCGTGCTGTGTGCTCTTTCGCACTTGTAGTCATATCTAGGCTGGGACAGAAGGACCTGGGGGAGCGTGCCCGGAGCGCTACCCTCAGCTCCAACCCCAATACACGACAGACGCGACACCCTGGGTGCATTTGACCGTCCCGGCTGGCTGCGCGATGCCCGACCACTGTTCTACCGAAGACGCCTAGCTGTTCTGTTCTGATCTGTTCTTCCTACCAACTATTAAGAATATTATTATAATTATTATTACCATTATTATTTTGAAATTTATAATTTCTCTTTTAGTTTTGTTCCTTTTAATTATTATTTTCTTTTAGTTTATTATTTTTATTTACTTTTTTGTTTTGTTCTGTTTCTCTTTTTTGATTTCTTTTTTAAATTGACATGTTGTTGTTTCGTTTGTTTCATCCTGTCATGCCGAATCTTCTCATGGCTAGTATGTAGTGAAATGCGTGATAGTAGCCATTAAGACGATCGGCAATATCATGCTGGTTACCTACCTTCTGCAGTTCATGTTCGCTGTGATAGGAGTGCAGTTATTTAAGGTAAATTTTCCTGCTCGTGCTTCACGCTGCACCCAAGGTAGAACTCTGCATGTTCTGGAAGTAGACTTCGGAGTTGTCGAGCGGTGCCCAGCGAAAGCCACGTCCTCACCGCTCGACGGCTCACGACCTACGATTCACTCCAGATCACCAAAAAATAAACTTGTCTGTCTGTCTGCATCTGTCGGCACTGTAGTAGCTGGTAAGCTTTCGTCGGACACAGCCTGGCTCAGCTCGGCTTATTTATAAATATATTTATATACATATACATATATTTAATAGAATGGTTCTTATTATTTTCTATTTCATTCTATATATATCTATAGTGTTAAAAGCGTATACCTTATATTCTATGTCGAAAGAAACAGGGTTATGATTATTGTTAATGTTATTGTTACCATAATATTTATCATCAATTAATTTGTCTATGTCGCTGTGCGATGTGGTTGATATGCCTGTGTGTGCAAGATGCACTTAGAAACGGGCTTGTAGAGTTTGTGCAGCGATGTTAACAAATTGACGCAATAATGTATCTCGATCTATTGTTATTACAGAGTCAATTTCATATATACGTATAATATATCATTTATTTACTAGTTATGACTACAAGTGGTAGCAAGTGTTACGTCTCATTAACCGCATGCGTACATAATTCTTTAGTTGGTTCTTGTTTATCGTTCATCATCTTGCATGTTCGTTTCTCTAGATGACATTATTTTTCTTTTGCATGGAGTTTTGTTACGAATGTTGGAGCAATCCTTCGTTCGATCATTGTACTGACTAACGTATGTTCCGTAGGGAAAATTCTCGAAATGCACTGATGGCTCAAAGCTAACGGAGGAGGATTGCAAGTAAGTTCAATGCGAGACTGGGCGATGAAGACCAGAATTTCTAAACAGTTTTCGGCGTCTAGGGGGACGTACATAGTCTACGAGGACGGCGAGATCGGCAATCCCGAGATGAAGGATCGCATATGGGAAAACAACCGGTTCCACTTCGATAACGTGGCCAAGGCCATGCTGACCCTCTTCACGGTCTCCACCTTCGAGGGTTGGCCGGGTCTTCTCTACGTCTCTATAGACTCAAACGAGGAAAACAAAGGACCAATTCACAACTTCCGCCCCATTGTAGCCGCCTACTACATCATATACATCATCATCATTGCCTTCTTCATGGTGAACATTTTCGTCGGTTTCGTTATCGTTACATTCCAAAATGAAGGCGAACAGGAATATAAGAACTGCGAGCTCGACAAGAACCAGCGGAACTGTATAGAATTCGCACTAAAAGCGAAGCCTGTCCGACGTTACATTCCGAAGCATCGGATCCAGTATAAAGTCTGGTGGTTTGTAACGTCAAGGCCCTTTGAGTATACGATATTCATACTGATTCTCATCAATACCATCACGTTGGCAATGAAATTCTACAATCAACCGGAGCCCTATTCGGTGGCTCTCGACATCCTCAACATGATATTCACTGCTCTGTTTGCGCTGGAGTTTGTGTTCAAATTAGCCGCCTTTCGGTTTAAGGTATACGTCACCGGTGTAAATCGATCGATATCCCGTTTTCTAAACTCTCCTATTTCAGAACTACTTCGGAGATGCTTGGAACGTGTTCGATTTCGTCATAGTACTTGGCAGTTTCATCGACATTGTATACTCCGAAGTTAATGTAAATCAAAAACAACCCTTAACCATTAAAATACATATATAACCTTTAAAACTGTAACTATTCTAGCCCGGCTTACCTTCGACTCTGATTTCCATCAACTTCTTCCGGCTCTTCCGCGTGATGCGTCTTGTGAAGCTTCTCAGCAGAGGCGAGGGCATCAGGACACTACTATGGACCTTCATAAAGTCGTTCCAAGCTTTACCCTATGTAGCGCTGTTAATCGTGATGCTCTTCTTCATCTACGCCGTGATTGGAATGCAGGTGGGTAACTATATTTCGCGCGCGGAGAAATGTCATTAATGTTGTGATGCGTCTAGATGTTCGGTAAAATAGAAAGCATCAATTCGAATAGTTCGATAACGAGGAACAACAATTTCGCTTCGTTTCCGCAAGCGGTTCTGGTGTTGTTCCGGTCCGCAACGGGCGAGTCCTGGCAGGAAATTATGCTGGATTGCGCCGCGACCGCAGAAGTGCAGTGCGATTCAAGGATAGCCAACAGACAGAGCGAGAACTGCGGTTCCGACATCGCATATCCCTACTTTATATCCTTCTATATTTTATGCTCATTTCTGGTAAATATTTAATTACACGAAAGACTCTTTAACCTAACACGCTTCCTCTTACAGATCATTAACCTTTTCGTAGCTGTCATTATGGATAATTTCGATTATTTAACACGAGACTGGTCCATCTTGGGACCTCATCACTTAGATGAATTCATTAGGTTATGGAGTGAATACGATCCGGATGCCAAGGGCAGGATCAAACATTTGGACGTCGTCACCCTTTTGAGGAAGATTTCCCCGCCGCTGGGCTTCGGCAAGCTCTGTCCGCATCGTGTCGCCTGCAAGAGGTTGGTATCGATGAATATGCCCTTGAACAGCGACGGGACTGTACTCTTCAACGCGACCCTCTTCGCGGTGGTTCGCACCTCTTTGCGTATCAAAACCGAGGGCAACATCGACGACGCGAACGCGGAACTACGTGCCGTGATTAAGAAAATCTGGAAACGTACAAGTCCCAAGCTTCTGGACCAGGTGGTCCCGCCACCGGGTGTTGACGACGAAGTGACGGTCGGTAAATTCTACGCGACGTTCCTTATCCAGGACTACTTTAGGCGTTTCAAGAAACGCAAGGAGCAGGAGATGAAGGAAGGTGACAAGGACGCACACAACACCGTCACTCTGCAAGCAGGATTGCGCACCCTCCACGAGGCTGGACCGGAATTGAAGAGGGCCATCTCCGGGAACCTTGATGAACTGATTGATGATAATCCTGAACCAATGCACAGGGTAAATACCACTGTATTTATATGTAAACAAAATATTTAAATAATTAAGTGGAAGATATATTTTTCCTAATTGATATAATAAGTAAAATTTGTTTGTTAGTTTTGAATTGTCAATTATCATTTTGTTTCAGAGGAATCACACATTATTCGGTAGCGTTTGGTCTTCTATGCGTCGGACGCATAGCTTCAATCGGGCTAAATCGTTGAAGGTGAATTCGACCCAGATTAAGATCACACCTGCTTCCAGTATTGATTACCTTCAATGCAATTCGTTGCATAGGGCCGTCACCGAGGGGATGAACCATTTGACTTCGATGACGAAGAACGTCGTGCAGAACAGGTCAAGCGCGACTCTGCATCGACAAGACAGCAAGGACGAGGAGGCAATTCCGCTCAGGCCCTTGACCAATATGTATAACGGAGATACTGACAAGAACAACTTCCAAGTTATCGAGTAAGTACGACTACCTAGAGAATACCTAGTCAGAAGTGCAAAACACGATAATGATTAATGATAATTCGAGTATGAACGGGGGGGAAATGTGCTGATGTTCTTAAATAATAATAATAATATAAATGAGGATGATGATGATAATAATAATAAATATAATAATAATTGAAAAAAAAAAGAGAAAATGTAAAAACATATAAATATATCTGACGGAGGAGCCAGTAACGTAGTAACTTGATCATTTGGTTTCGCTTTCAGTAAATCTGGCTTCCTACACCCTCACTACAACGGTAAGCGTTTGGGGTGTGAGTGTGTGCCTGAGATTTGGTTTGATTTGGTTTGAAGTGATGTGATGGTGATGTTGTGTTTGTGCCAGTCTGCAGGGCGACCACACTGAGCTGATGCCTCCGACGCCGCCGCCGCGACGCGTTCTTCTTGGTCTGGGGGGCGGTTGCATGACGGCTACGCCATCGCCTGTGCAACACGCACCCAGCTTTAGTCGCATTGCAAGCGGCCTGAAACTTGCACAAGCACAAGCTATGGCAGTTGCAGGCTTCTTGCCGGAGCCTTCCGACTGGCCCGGCGCGCTCCAGCCCTCGGACACGGAAGGGAACGCCCGGCATGCGCGTTGCTCCCTTCTTAATCACAGGGCTTCCTTCCATGGCAGAGGTTAGCTCCTAATGCTCACAGCTAGCAGTCCAGCATGTCCCCAATACTCTACTTCTTCTTCACCACTCCTAAGACACGATCCCAACACATACACAAGCTTTAGCAATTTACTATAACTGTTGTAATGTACTACCTCTTGAAAAACTAATTTGGAGATTTCAACGCCTGATGTAACTGAAAATAAAATACTTTTAAATTAACGTGTATTAAATCAGGTATTGCAATTTCCGAAGACAGATCCTACACTTCACAACTATCTTCTTCTCTATCTCTGTACCTTTATCTATCTGTAATTCTTAAGTTATTGTTTGTGTTTGTTTTTAATTACTTTTTTCTTTCGTTCGTTTTCTTTGTAACTCTCTCATTTGATTTCTTCTTCTCCGATACACGATGTAGATGTCCTTGTAGTTGTTGTGTGTTAGACGAGATAGCGGCTCGCTGCTGCATGAAATTTCCTTCAGTTTCAGCATCGGCCGAGCCGAACGGACACGTGGCAATCGAGAGGCTGAGCCACTCACTGCCGGGAAGCCCCGCGGATCGCAGACCTGCCTCCTTCGAGGTGGTCGGATCCGCGGAGAGCCTGGTCGGACGGATCCTGGCCGAGCAAGGTCTCGGCAAATACTGCGACCCGGACTTCGTGCGGTACACGTCGCGCGAGATGCAGGAAGCCCTAGACATGACCCAGGAGGAAATGGATCGCGCGGCCCACCACCTGCTTCAGCAGGAGCGTCGCAAGCTCTCCCAGGCGCCGCCGCCCTTCGACGGCCTGCAGCCGCAGTTATAGCATCTCCAAACCCTCGGCCCAAACCAAACCCACGGCCAAATAACCCTCGGCCAAGCCATCTCGGTCTCCTAACCCTCCCAACATTCTACCAAGTGCCTAATACATTTCTTCTGGTCCAAAGAAGACTAAATATAATAATAACGTGTAGTTTTTTAACCTGGTTTTTATTTTAAGAAAGGATTGTTTCTCCAGTTACAAAATCCCAATGTACAGGGTGTAAGAAAAAAAAAATATATATGGAAATAAAATTATTCAATACTTAAAAAAAAAATAAAACAAAACAAAAAAATACAAGTAAATAACAAATTTTGAACCGAATGAACAAATACAACATAAAAAAATAAATAAGAATTAAAGAGAAGATGACGCTAAAGTAATTGAAAATCTCGATTAAAGCCCGTTCTAGAATTGCGATCGTTAATCGAACATTTGATGAGAAATCGGTATCTCCGTTAATCGGCATGCGTTCCCGCACGCATGACCGTTACGACAGGGGTTCTTAATTTGTGACCCTTAAATTTCAGTGAATAATTCATCCTCTCACTGAAATTTAACATCCCATTCAATACCTACGCAACAACGTAATGAATGGCCTCCAAAATATTTGTTTGTTTTTTTTCTTTCTTTACTTAATTATTAAATCTCACTATCTAGAATTATATAGTCTTAATAAATGGGTTAAACACTTAACGCGAAAGGGTTTTCACTCGAAAGTTACGAACCCCTGCTCCGCGTATCCTATTATAGAACAGGCTCGAGCAGGACAAAAAAAAAACATGATGATGAAAAAAAAAATGAAGCAAACTGTATTTGCGAAAATTTTGTAATATCAAATGTGTCAAAAAAAAATCTATAATAATAATATATTAATAATAATTAATTACTTAATTAATGATAAATAAAAATAAATCCTACATCTACGATTCTTTTTGGGGTAGGGGCGGGGGAAATCTTCAGCAGCGACATCACGTTTTTTCTCTCTCATCTCTCGATTATAAATATATATATATATTATACATACATATATTATATATTACATAAGAGTATTGTTTAATTGTACATACAGGGTTGGTCAGATGTACGGAACGTAGTTGCGTTACATTGTCGACATTATCAAAATAATAATAATAATAATAATATTTATTGCTTATCCAAGGAAACGTGGCAATTTATTGAATGCAGCACTCAGTTCAGGAACACAAAAATTCGGCAGGCGAAAGGAAAATTTAAAGTATATACACTTTAGTTATGGAATTGTAAATATATTGATGTAATTGAATAGGTATTTAAATTTATTTCTATATTACTAATGATTGGATATATACATTTATGGAATTTATGAGGCACCGACGAAAATTATTAATTTCAATGATATTCGTTTCATTTATTACTTTATATCTGAGTAGACACTTTTTTTTATATATACATATATATAATTCTATTTTTTTCTTATAAGCATAATTATTTTGTTTATATATTGTGAGGACCAATAAATATTGTTGTTATTATTAAATATTTATCGGTTTCCCAATGGCCATCCTCTAACGATATTTTCAGAAGTGTCCAATTGTTTCACATTTCGATTACGAGCTACAATCGATATTTACCTAATCGTCAATTTCAGGAGTTCTGCGTTGGAATCTTGGGTACGTTTCCATAAACACAACACATAAATGATATTCCAAAAAAAGAAAATACAAACTTTTAACATTACATAATTGAGAAAAAACAAACACATTTTTTATTTATTTTAAAAATGTAATAAATACACTACAAATACACAAAAAATAACACTTCCATTAATTATTTAAGAAAATCAAATTAATAAAATTTATTACAGGAATTTAATTAAAATCTACATTTAATATAAACATTAGAAAAATTTAAATTAATTTATGAGAAGTCAACAATTTCATAAGAAAATTGCAAAAACAACAAAATATTGATATTTTTCTAAATATAATTAACTATTGTAGTATCATCATTTCAAACGTCAACTATAAATATTGCAATTTAGATTTGAAATCTAAACAAATTGATTTGGGTTTCAAATTGAACTTTTAAATTGTGATTAAAAATATTAAAAAAAAATAACTGTGTAATAATATGTATATAATTAAATATTGAAATAGGTTACAGCAAAATTTAAGTATAATTATTGACTTTCACATAAGATATATATTTTTCGTTTTAAAATAATTATATTTACATATTGATTGTTGTAGTTGCACGTTGCTTTTTATTTGTTAAAAGTCAATACACTTTATATTGAATGTTTGCGAATCTTGACGTTAAAATATCAATTTTTATTAAATAAAATTTACCGTTGAATATTTTTATTTATTTACTTTTTTTTCAAAGTAATGGAAGGTCTTTCAACCGAACGACCAAAAATCAATAAACGCATTACCACAGTTTGCGCTCAAATCACACAAATTCATACTTCAAGTTATGATTATCAAAATATTATTACAAAGTTTCAGGTTTTAACAAAAATATTATATAGAAATTTATTACAATTTACGTCATTATTTATTATTATCAATGTACCAAATGGGTCTAAAGCGATAATCTCATATGGAGATTAGTTAATATTTGACAACTTACGAAAGTTAAGCACTTGAATTGGTGATCAGTACTTTTTAACGCACTCACTACGGCTGACAAATAGAGATAAATATATTTATCTTCTTGCAAGGTGGAGATAATTTCATTTATTTTCAATATTATTCAAATTTGGTGCAAAATTTAAAGTTATGTTATTTTAAAAGTGTGAAATAAAAACTTAATTATTAAAAAATATAATTATTTGTTATTTTTGTTAAGATAGTTAAAATACATGATTTTATTATTATTATGTTTTTTGTAATATTTTTAAGTGGGAAAACAATTAAATGTTGTTATAAAAATTTGTCCAACTCAATATATAAATATTTATTTTAAACTCTAAAATGATATTTTAGTTAATACTTGCTTGTCTTCATTGTCTCTGAAAATGATATATAAGGTAAAGTATAATTATCCTTTAATTCAGTAAATTACAATTTCTGGAATGTGTAGACTCATTTATATATAAACACCAATTCGTGAATAATTGGTTTTTATTCGATAAAGCGCTTTTATCTTATCTTGTAGGTAAGTAAAATAAAACGTCTCGATTTTTTTTTGAGAAATTGTATTTATATGTGAGTGTATTGCATACATGTAGAGAAATACATCATCTGATTGCAAGACTCTGGAGTATGCCGTCCCCTCCACAATCTGAAAGTGTCTTCGGGTTTAATCAGAACAGCGTGAGAATCAGTCGCCTATTGGTGGTTGGACGAGACTTGTATCCTGAACGAACGACTGTGTGTTTTGTATATATATATTAAATGTGTTCGTGTTGGTGTTGGACAGCAGTCGGATAGGATCAAAACAACGCGAAGAGTTTATTTATTTTTTTTTCTGTTCTGTTGCAAATTTATCCAAAATTATGGAGACGGAGGATGAAGTGATCTATCCTCGCGCTGTCACGATTTTCGCATCGGTTTGTGCGATCATCTTCTGCGTTGTGGGTGTAGCGGGTATAAATCAGATTCACTAGCATCCGCAAACACCCAACTTTAAACTATTGTTTTGATTAACTTTTAGGTAACTTGATTACGATACTGGCCTTAACCAGGTGCCCGAAATTGCGCACACATCCGACCACATATTTCGTCCTGTCCCTGTGCATCTCGGACTTCATCTTCTGCTTGATCAACATGCCAATCACAGCCACCAGGTACATCCAGGAGGAGTGGACACTCGGAGAGGATCTTTGCAAACTGTTTCCGGTCCTGTTCTATGGGAACGTTACGCTTTCGGTTTTGAATATGGTTGCAATCACAATAAATAGGTGCGTATTTTCATACATACATCTAAACCATAAACTCGCGACAACTTCCTCTCGAGCCCTCTTCATATTCATCATCAATCGCTTCCTTGTAACACGAAACACATGTTACCAAATGAATAAAGTGTCTGTCAAAGTATTTTATATCAGCTGGGGCGATGTACTTCAATTAATCAGAGATGTATGCGCGCCGTTTTCTTCGTCCGCACGATTTTTCACTGCGCTCCATTTACCCGCAGATAAAATAATTTCATTTGAAACGATGTAATATGACTGTAATGAATGCGTGGATCCATTGTTCTTGATTGTATGACTGCCATAGGTCAGAAGTTAACTAAGCCGGGCTTAATTATGACCGATTCCCATTTAATTTTTTCGCACGAGCTTATGCGTTTCGAAACTTTATAAACAACATAATCGTCGGCGTTTTGTCATTATCATCATTATTGATAGAAAAAAAAAATATATATATAAAGAAATAAAAATACACATGAGACCAACCCATCCCCTGGTAATTTCGTTAATTGCACCGGCATCGGATTACAAATACAATTCGAATGATTGTCTACCTTTCGAACAATTTTATTTCTGTCTCTTTCCCGCAGGTACGTTTTAATTTCGTGCAACCAATACTATAGTAGGCTGTACTCGAAGATCTCCATATACGCGCAGCTGGCCTTTATTTGGACCATTTCCTTTGTAATACTGGTAAGATTTGAAATCCCACAAATATATAACAAAACGAGTGAAAAGAGGGAGAGGTAGATGAGAATACACAAATAAATACAATTCATCGACAGTTACCCCCATTGTTGGGTGTATGGGGTGACCTGGGCCTAAACAAAACCACGTTTTCCTGTACAATATTGAAAAACGAGAACGGCTCCCCCAAGGACGCCATCTTCATAGTCGGCTTCGTTTTGCCATGCGTCGTCATCATCACCTCGTACAGCTGCATCTTCTGGAAGGTCAGGGCTTCCCGCAAGAACCTCGAAGCTCACAGGTACAAACACTCAATTTACTGTCATCACATTAGACTCTTTACTCAATAATTTAGTAGACAACAAAAAAAAAAATACTTACCATTTCATTAAAAAAAATATTTTGATTGCAGATTATTTTTAACATTTTTAAATTTCTATATAAATTAAAAATTTAATTGATTAATGAAAAATAAATTTAAACTTTTCAATTTGTTTTGCATTTATATTTTAATTTCAAATTATTTAATAATTTTACAAAGAATCAACGATATTGACCGCAGTCAATTCAATTACATAATAATTATTATTTTCAATTAAAAAAAATTACAAAAAAAAATGTTATGACTAAAGTAAAATAATAATTTTTCCAATTAAAATCTAATTATATATAAATTACTAAGAATGTTTAATATTCTCAAATTATTTTTAGTTAATTACAAACATTTAATAAATTATTGAGGAAAGATAATATTAATATTTTATAATAATTTTCGAAGATTTAATTCGATTTGAAATTTTAAGTTTTAAATTAAGTAAATGAATGAAGTTATAATCATTAGTATTTGTAATTATTATAAACTAAACTCTTTCATAGGAAGCCAAGTGACAAAAGGAGTATGAGGAAGGAACGGGATGATCGCCGCTTAACGAATCTGATGGTCATCATCTTCATCTGCTTCCTGTCATGTTTCCTTCCGCTGATGATCGTAAACGTTTCGGTGGACGAAATGAACTTCCCTACGCTGCATGTTTTAGCATCAATTCTGGCATGGTTCTCCAGCGTGATCAACCCCTTCATCTACGCCGGAAGCAACCGGCAGTACCGTGAAGCGTACGCGAAGCTACTGCACCTGGTGAAGAACACGGTCAGCTTTTCCGAGTCCAGACACCTCTCCGACGTGACAAATCCTACGCACAAAACGCCAAATAGTAGTAACCAGAACTACGCACCTGTACCTGTTAAAACGACTGCGAACATTTAGCCCACCCAAGAGCAACCTTTAACCCTGATCGCACATTCCTAATCTTAAGCACACACGAGTTATTGACATATCTTCTTCGAAAACAAATAGTAAACAAGAAAAAAAAAAGACTGATAACTTATTTGTGCCATAGGATAATATACAGCATTATATTATGTTCATTTAGATAAGCTCAAAGAAAAAGAAACAACATACTTCGGCAGGCTGAGTCGTAATTTTAGTTACCAATTGTTATGTGATCACTTTATTATTAATATATTTTTTCTTTTTATATATATATACATAATATATAATGCCTATATATAAGAACGTATTATAAATATATAAATAACGTAATTTCTTTTTGAACTTTCCATTCTGGCCAATTTGAATATTTTTACTGCTCATAAATCCCGTCGTAATAGCCCATCAGTGTCATAAAACAGAAGAAAAAAAATATGAAACCTTATCGTGCTTAGATAACGATTCGAAATGCTTTCGAGAATACGAAAATAAAAATAAACATCATTGAATGAGGCGGCGTCCGAAGAAAAGAGATCCATTGAACCCGCGAAGAACCCGCGTCGATTAAGTAACAGCTTCCCGTTTCCACAGTAGATGGCACGCGACTGGTAACAGCCATAAGGAAGGATACGTGGTTCCTCTTCCATCTATTTTTAGATCCCTAACTAAGTGCCCTTTTGACTTCCGCGGAAGATAAATGCACTTCAAGATGACGGCTCTCCCAATATAGATTCACTGAAAAGAAACAAAAGCTGTAATGGAAATCCATTAAGGTATATCGTTGATTTTTGTGCTGCTCTTTTTCTTTAGAGCAATTTTTAGTATATGATGATTGCTAGATGATACTTTCTTGATGACATACAAAAATATAAGAATATCAAAGTTCAAACAACTTTGGAACAGATTTAATGACAATTTTAATCAACAATTAGTATTTATTATTAATTTAATAATAATAATATTTACAGAAAAAACGATTGGAATTTATTTATTTACTTTTAATTCAGAAGAAAACAATTCCTAGCACTAAACAAGATCTTACTATATAAAGGTACCTACACACTACCTATTTTTTATTCACACTTTACATATACAGTAAAACTTGTTTTTATGCGGTAGATAGAGAAAAAAACACACAAAAAAAAATATTCAAAATTTTCATAAATTCGAATAAAAAAGATTTACGAAATACATGAGAAAATGCATCCAAACTAAATATATAATTAAATTACACATGGAATCATTTTAATAACATTTAATTTCTCATTGTACATATCGAGAAAAATGCACATACATAATTCACAGCTACACATGTTAATAAAAAACGCGCATCTTCTTGTGATAAATTGGTTCAAAATCGACTAAGAGAATCGTTTGTGCAGGTTGTATATATATATATACACACTCATAGAAAACATTACAATGGTGCCAACGCCATTGAAATTGGTTGGATTTCATATACCGCACAAAGAAAATCGCATAAAAACAAGTTCTGCTGTATATTACTTTACTTGACACGTAGTGCGTAGAACACATTTTTAAAATACCCTTTCGAAAGTTCATTTCTCAAAATATCTATAAATATCTAGTACATTCTTCACAAGAATTCCATTAATAATACAATCATTAGTATCAGAGTATGTGAAAACAAGTTGAAAAAAAAGTGTTTTTCCATAATTCATGGTAAAATATTAACACCAAAACAATCAAAATTATGAATTTATAATATGTATAAAACACTCCATTTTCAAATTAAACTACAATAAAAACGTATTCGATAATCATATCGCAACAAAGAATAACAGAGTTGTGTGCAGTCAATCACTTCAATAAAAATATTACATTTATTCATGTATATTTCCAGCAATAAATTCTTCTTTTATAAGAATAAATAAGAACGGCAATCAATAATCTACATATCACTAACAACTGCAATTATACGAAAATAAACGATGGAATTGTAACTTAAATATTATTTTTCAAATATTGTATTCATTATTGATAAAACAAATCTATTTTTTGGTAACAACCGGGAAGTGGTTCCATTGCTGCGGCTTTTTATATCAAAATACGTATTTATAAATAAAATCATACTAATATTAAAAAAAATCATTTCAAAAGTTCAAATATATATTTTTATATTTATATATTTTTCTCATTGCAAAGCACCTTTCTTTTCTTGGAATTATGAAACGCAAGGGTTCAGCACTACCTGAGTAAAGCAGGTAAAATCTGTTTTTTTTTTGGTCCATCGAAAATTTGCAGACTGGAAGATTTCAATGAATAACTCTGGCGTGAGTCACAAAGGTTTCAACAGTTGATGTTAAATAAGAACATCATCTCAGTTTTTGAATGTTGTATTCGTGGAATTAAATAAGCAAAATAATATAAATGGTAGAAACAAAATAATTGAGAGAAGAAAACAGGATGTATTCGATTTCATAAGACTGCAGCCTGTGACACATTAGAAAATTCTCAGTTTTATCAAGATTCGAACTGAAATTTGAAGCACTTCATTTAATAAACTAATCCGTTTATACTTTTCACAGCCGTATCTTATCAATGCGTTACGCAACGCCGATCCGATTAAGAAAAATTAACGTTATGAAATGATTTTTGATAAGTAAAAATATTTTAAACATAAGCGTAATTATCTGTGTGGTCCGATGGAAAAGGAAATCAAAAAATAAATATTGTGAGAGGTTTCAAATAGCAAGAATGTATAAACAAGTTGTTTCATTTATTTATTTTAATTAATTCTTAGCTTAAACGCCATGTAATAAAACAATTTTTGATTATTTACAAAGAATAAATGTTTATTTATTTACGAAAATTGCAAAGGAAATAACTTAAAGAAGATCTTTGTCACCGCTGCATTGTAATATGTAAACACTTGAGTGGATACAATGACTAACGTTTAAAGTTGCGGTAATTCTAAAATGGATTAACTAAACAAACAATCTATACTAAAATATCTAGTACAGTCAATTCCGCTTAATCGGGACTAGTACATTTTGTCACAATTAAGCCCAATTATCCGGAGTTCCACAATACAGGATTAGTGCTTTTTAATATTTTATTTAATAATTTGCACAAAATAAAACAAGTCACAAATCTGTACGTATGCATATGTACATATTGAAAAAATGTATACGTACTACATAATAAAATATTATATACATTCTGAAACATTAAATATGTATGTATAAGGCGCGGTCCGTCCATGGATGCCGCTCAAACACAGGCGCCGCATACACAACATCAATGGGTGTGTGAATCCCCGTCGATTACTGTCCCGATTAAACGGAATATTGTCCCGAAAAACAGAGTAAATTTGTGTTATTTACTTAGTTTTCCTTCCGTTCTTTAGGATTTGTCCCTCACAACCGGCTGCCCTATTAACCGGTGTCCCAAATAAGCGGAATCAACTGTACTTCGATTTAAATATTAAAATGATCAAATTTGTACAGTAATTTTCACAAAAAATAATATATATAATGAATGGATTTCTGTATTAAAAAAAAAATTTACAATTATTTATGTACAAAAACTACATATAATACAATAAATCTAATTAATTGTCTTGCTTGTGCGAACATTTCTTTTCGAAGATAAATATAAAATTTTAGCACTAATTTATATGAAATCAAGTATATTTAGAAACAACATTAATAAACATTTTACTTCTACAAAATTCTTATATTTAAGGAAATTGGTTTTAGAAATTTATAAATAATATAATTCAATCATTTATTTACTTATAGTTTCAATATTAAAGTTTTGTTTACTAATAAAATATTGATATTTGTTTATGTACAAAAAAAACTACAAATAATCCAATAAATCTAATTAATTCTCTAATATATTTAGAAACAACATAAATAAATACGTTACTTTTACAAAATTAGTTTTTTAAATGAAAATGTTTATGTATATTTTGTGTTTATTAATATTATTTAAGATTTTTTTTTTAACTTTAACACAGATTCAAAATATTTACAAATTCTACTTAATTTTAATATATTTATCTGTTAAATGCAGTTTTGATGTATATATTTGTATTTATTACACAATTCTCAAATTTAAGGAAATTGCTTTTCGAAATTTATAAATAATATATTTCGATCATTTATTTTCTTATAGTTTCAATATAAAAATTTTCTAAACTAAAAAAATATTAACAATTATTTATGTACAAAAAAACTACAAATAATCCAATAAATCTAATTAATTCTCTAATATATTTAGAAACAACATAAATAAACACGTTACTTTTACAAAATTAGTTTTTTAAATAAAAATGGATATTTTATGTATATTTTGTGTTTATTAATTTTATTTAAGATTTTATTTTAAACTTTAACACAGATTCAAAATATTTACAAATTCTACTTACTTAAAGTATATTTAGATGTTAAATGCAGTTTTTGATGTATATATTTGTATTTATTACGAAATTCTTAAATTTAAGGAAATTGCTTTTCGAAATTTATAAATAATATAATTATAATTTTTTTTTAAATTTTAGCACAGATTCAAAATATTTACAAATTCTACTTACTTTTAGTATATTTAGATGTTAAATGCTGTTTTTAATATATATATTTGTATTTATTAAGAAATTCTCAAATTTAAGAAAATTGCTTTTCGAAATTTATAATATAATTCAATCATTTATTTACTTGTAGTTTCAATATTGAAATTTTCATAAGTTTATATTTTGTCTATAAAAATAAGTTAGATGTAGAATTTTGCACTTAGAACATTTATGTTTTACAAAATTTTATAGTAATTTACACAATAATTACTAAAATATTAAAATAATCACAGATAATTATTTTATTTATATATTTTTAGCTTGAATCTGCATATACAGTTGTCTACATATCAACACTAGCTGCGGATATTTTTTTTTTCATCCCTTTTCATGGCTGCTTCTTTTCAAATAAATCAGTGATGTTTCAAATAGTAGATTTACTAATATTCTAATAAATATATTTTATTCTTTCAGCTTTAATATAATAATTTTCAGTTTTTTATTTGATTACAAATAAATTCAATTAAAATCTATTCAATTATCAAAAAAATACGTTTATATAAATCATTTTACAATAAATATAATTTATTAATTTTATTTTCTGCATAAATCTAAAAACATATACAAATTTAATAAATTTGCAAAACAAACAATTGGTTAATTTTATTTATTTCAATAATTTTCCTAATAATACTAATAAAATTATTTTATTTGTAAAATATTTTCTTAGTAAAAGTAGTAATTATTTGTATAAATAATATAGTATTGAATGTATTAAGGTTAATCAACATAGTTTGTTTCAAGTTTGGTTATGTATTTATTTCATGGTAATATGTTATAGTTTATTATAAATACATCCTGGGACAAATTGTTTATTATTACTATAAACATGTTGTCTTTCTTTTATTTATTGTTTGATTGTTTCGAATGAATATAATTTAATTAATAAATATCTGTTTCTTTATAGAAATGAGAAGTAATTGTTATTGTAACATAATATTTCTGCCATCTTGTTAATGCAAAATGAACATTTTTATCTTCCGAACAGAGATGTCAGCAGTGGTAACTGGAAACCATTGTCATGTTTACATTAATGACGTATGTTTGTTTATTCTTGGATAGAATTGTTGTTTTATTATACAAACAACCGATTATATACGAATAAATACAAATTTGCAAATTCTTTGTCGATTCAGTCATTGTGAGAAACAATACTTCGACTAGAATGACGTGCGATTACTAAAATTAAACGTAGGCAGTCATGAAGGATATGGTTTATGCGTAATTATTAAACAATATAAAATATAAAAACAGCAACAATTTACTAAAAGAGCGGGAAACAAAATTTCTCTCGCGAGTATGCGCAAATCCGGAAATGCCTCCTGCTCTTGAGGATACGTAATTAGATTCCTTGTTGTGGCAACGTTGTAAGGATGATCGTTTATAGTCGTGCTGCACATTACACAAACAAGACAGTGTCGTGTTCCCAAAATCGAAATGTGTTTTAAATACCAACGCGGTGTAGTGTGTGTGAGGGAGAGAAGAGCAGCACGGTTTCAGTAAAAAGTTCTCTAAACTAATGATTACTGATCCACCGTGACGTTTAAATATCAAATAATATTAAACTTATTCATTCATCGGCTGAGAATATCGAAGATAAAAACAGGTTGTTTCCAATAAAAAATTAGCAAATAAAAATATAGGCACGTATCCTCTCACACACATTACAAGGACGCCATATTGATTGGAACTTCGCTTTATATATATATATTTTTAGACAATTTTTATTATTTTCTTGTTTTTATATGCTAAGAATTATAACAAATAATTGTAGTTTTATTATTTCGTTAATACGTTTGATCCAGCAAACAATTGTACTGCAAGAAGAAGCTTGAAACGATTTTTTTTCTGTACATCATATATTTTCTTCTATACGTTCTTATCTTGTTTCTGTTATCAATTTTTGTAAAATATACATTGTCGTTTGATATTTGGTCTTAATATAGTGTTGGCTATATTATGAGCAACATGAGGGGTAAAGAACATTCGCCATATCGAATATCAAGAAGCAGATCTAATTCTCGATCGCGTCGTAATCAATCTCGTTCAAAATCAAGATCACATTCTCCCCAATACCGAAGGCACGCCAGAAACCATAAATGTGAGTTACACCCAGAATTTTGGTACAATCCGTTTGGTTGAATTTGCTTTGCCAACCCTTTGTGTTTGTGTGTTTTTGTTTTTACCCCTGCAATGGGTGTGTGCTCATAGTGTACATTTATCATAGATAAGTAAAGGAATAGTGGTTTATTAATAGAAATTCTGTAGAAAGTTTTTATAACTATCTGCTGGATTTTAGCATTGCTTGTGGTGGAGGTATTTTTATGGATATTGGTGGGGGCAGTAAAACCCTTAAATATTTGTATTTAGGTGTTTGAATTAATATATTTTAATTTCAGATCATAAATATGATCATGAGAGATCTCCATTGAATGATGAAAATAATAAAGAATATAATAATAGACGGGAGAGAGAATCGTCGTATGATGATGATAGAAGAAGCAGAAGTACTAGTCGCGAAAGAGAGTACCGAGATAGGGACAGAGATAGTAGATATTATAAAAATTCGCATAAAGACTATAGAAGGAGCAGAAGCTCCGGTAGCGGTTCCAGGTGGGATTACAAAGATGAACGAAGTAGGGATAGGGATCGATACCGCGATAGGGATAGGGATAATGAAAGAGATAGCGATGATAGGTAATATGACTTGGAAATATTACTTGAAGTAACTATTGACATCACTTTTAAGGGAGAAGACGTTAATAGATTGCACAACAACAATATATATATAATAGTATAAAAACAAAAGCTTATTATTCCTCGTTGTTTTTCCAGCGAGAGAAGTTCAAACGGAGGAGTACTCGGGGCGAGTGGCTCTGAGATCATTGGATACAAAAGCCAACCGCCCAATAATACCATTATGATTCGGGGCCTGGCTCAGCATATTACCGAAAATGACGTAATTTTATCAAGATCACAGTTGACGAACAGAATCGCAGGAATTGCTAAACACGAGGCTTTTATGATTTACAGATTCGACAGGACATTATACATTGTGGATTGATGCCCAAAGACATTAGACTGATACGGAAAAAAGACACAGGTAATGAGAAGTTGCATTGTTTTGCATTATCTTTTTGACTCATAGTTCACCGTGAATATAGATGTGATTTTGGCTGAGGTAATATTGCCATTGGTGTGTATTGTGCTGTTTAGGTGCATCACGCGGTTTTGCCTTTGTCGAGTTTACAACACTATCGGAAGCCACCCGCTGGATGGATATGAAGCAGGTATCTTAGATTACGAAGGGTTTTTAACTACTGCTACAATTCCAACTTTTATATCGATTCTGTAAAAATATATACAAGTAACATCTTTTTTTATTATTATTTATATTATATTTATTTAGTTACATTATTTTTACTTTCTTGAATCAATTTTTATTTAAAATTTTTATATTTATTTATATGCGTATATCTTTATTTGCATAATGTTTATTTTTATTAATTTTTTTTTCTACTTTTATTCTATTCTTTATTATATTTATTTTTGTTTTGAGCATTACGTTCTCAGTTTCAAATTTCAACATAAAAAAGTTGTAAACTTCAGTGCAAAATGCTGCCTGGCAGCTGGTCTCTTTAGAAAGAGGGGTGGGTGACTTAAAAAGTGGATCAGTATGTCTAATAGCACCCTTTTGCTATTGCAGGGCATATTAATGCTTCAGGATCAATATAGAGCTATTATGCAATATAGCATGCCCAAGGAACTATGTCCGCAATCTGAGAAGGCCCCCACACACAAAGCATCAGCAGATTGGTTTTGCATTAAGGTATACAAATCTTAATATTTCTCAAATAAACTTACCCACGATTTGTTCATTTTCAGTGCGGAGCCCAAAACTTCAAAAGACGTGAGCTATGCTTCAAATGCCATGCATCCAGGATGGAGAGCGAGGAAGGAGGCAGCGGCAGCGACGAAATCTGTTCCTATACGACTAAGAGTAATGACTGACAAATAGTTTGACTTTGACTGAATGTGACTTACGTTTTTTGGGTGAATTATAGCAATCATGCTACGCAATTTGGACGCCTTGACTACTGAAGACACAGTGATGAACGTTTTGATCGTGGTCATTCCGGACTTGGTTAAAAAAATATCAGCTGTCGCGATCGGTCGGGATTCACTAACATCCACATCCAGAGGCATATGTTACTTAGGCACAGAAACTACTATTGATGCCCTAAGCTTGTACGGCGCACTGAACAATCTACCAACGCCGCTCAGCATTGATGGAAAGACAGGTACTGTATGAATGGCAGCACAATCACAGTGTCGTCGAAATGCACTTCGTTTGTTTATTTCTTTGTTTACGAAACGCGATCTCTGCGTTTCATTAAATCCGATTATTCATCGACTACTCATTGTTCATTTATGCGATATATATTAAATAAACAAACAAAATGCATTATCTCATTAGAATAAATAAACAACTCTCATTTCATCATACGTTGAAAAATAAGTACTTGGATGAGTGAAATATAATTGGCCGATCCGAGTGCTAAACGACGTCAATTTTCTTCAACTTTTATTTAAAACATAAACGAATCAATACGTTACTTAACGCTAATTTACAAAATACTTAATTCGTATAATATTTTAAGATAATAATTAAATTTAAAAAGTATTAAACTGATAAATAAAATGAATCTTTTCAAAAAGACCGATTAATTAATAATACTAATATATAAATAAACTAATTTAAACATAAAAAACACAAAATCAATTACACAATTTAACAGTGCAGTTGATTATATTATTTGAATCATTTCATACGTGCTGAATTCGAATGTTGAATTTTTCAAAAAAAAAGTTGAATCAATAATTGATTTTAAGTAAGAAAAAAGCGTCATGTCATAAATGTATTTCATATAGTTTTAAGTGTACCTTACTACTACGAAATTAGATAAGGTCGAAAATTGATGAAATCGCACTTAACCCTTGTTACCGCGTTCACCAAACGGTTTTTTAAGCGATGGTTATTACACAAGTTGCTTCATGCAACTAATAAAACTAACTAAATAATTTTGTATGTGGAATAGAGAAATAGTATGAGTTAAAAAAAACGTTGGTTGCTAATAATTAAAGTACCAGTGTTAATCGACTTAATGATTATGTCCATGGAAAGAACAAACAAATAATTTTAAAGCGCATTTTGGGGGTGAACTTGCTTTGTGTGTGTGTTTGTGTAGTTGGGGTGAAATATACGTGGCCTGGGGTTAAGATCGATTTCAGAACAAGAATTAATGATGTGCGCGGAATAAAATTACATGGTTACGTTTGTCGAGGTAATTTTCCTTCTGTAGAATGACAACAGTTCAATCTTCTATTTAAGTTAGTCGTGTGTGTAGCGAAAAGCACATCCTTGGTTTCTTAAAAAAAAGCTTTTTGTTGAAATCGTTTTTTCAGTTTTTGTTTCTTCTTGTTTTAAAGGTGATTGACGTTTTAAAATGCGGTCGTGTATTGAGCACGGTCGCCCTCACAAGAGCACTCACTACTTGCCCCCCGTGAAAAATACGGGCAAATATCGTCAGCACGAAACAATGTGCATGTTATTATTCTTGGACTTGTATATTATAGATAGCATACTGGTAATGGCGACACTGAACGTTTCGACTCATCCGAATATCAAATTAACACCTATTTTTTTAGCTAATTATAATTATGGTTTATTTACATTTTGCAGTTATTTTATCTTACTGTAAATATAACATGGGAGATACAAAACATGTATATGCAGAACCGGAATCGACGTTCGCAACACCATCAGTTCCTACCACCTATAATCTTAGCGACGTCGATAGCCTCGCTGATTATTCGGCCAATAAGTTTGCGAAGAACAGTGTCGATTATCAGCACTATTTCTTGTACTATAAGAACTATTTTACACAACAAATTAATGCCGGAAATTCGATCACTTTGCATCAAGAGAATCAAATGGATGCGGCTAACGCTGCAGCGGCAGTAGCGCAATCGGCCATCCAACAGATGCAAGCCAATAAGACGTTTTTCGATACAACCCACATGTCAGTTCCGAACGGCACCGACGGCAAGAGATATCGTAAGTTTCTATTTATTGTTTCATACCAAAATTTTATACTAAATTTTATTGATTTACAGCTATACCGGACATTACCAAATATACATTTGATAAAAATAGTGGATATTATTACGATCAGCTAACTGGGTTATATTACGATCAATCTTCTCAGTACTATTGGAACAGTGTTATTCAAAAGTACTTATATTGGGACAGAGAAAAACTCACTTATGTTCTTGCACCGACGAATTACGAAACGTTTGGTAACAACCAGCAAACTCCAGAGGAAGCGTTGCAAGGACCTACAAAGAAGACGAAGGTAGAGAAACAAGATAAAGTAAAAGTTGCAAAGAAAATCGCGAAAGATATGGAGAGATGGGCGAAGACGCTGAATCAAAAGAAAGAGGTACAACCGTCCAGGTTTAACGATTCAGGACCAGGGGGAATTGGCTCAGCCGCTGCTGATATTGGCTTTTCTGTCTTAGAGAAAAAAGCAATGCCTATGAATAATGGATACGTGGAGGCAGACATGTCCAATCATGCCCCTCTCGTCGCTGCATATGGTGGCGAGAGCGACAGTTCGGAGGACGAGGAACCCAAAATCAATGATTTAGACTTTTTAGATTTCAACACTCTCATCTGCAATTTATGCAAAAGGATGCTTCCGAATGCGGAAGCATTATCTAAGCATGCTCAATTTTCTTCTATTCACAAACAGAATTTGGAGAATCTTAGAAATAAGAAGCGCAAGGAGAATTCTGCAAACGCAGCAGAGAAAATTGTTTATAGGGACAGAGCTAAAGAAAGGAGACTAAAGTACGGAGATCCAGATGAGCCACAGCCGAGTAAATTGAAGGAAAAATATTTGAAGTCCAGAGAGATCGAAATCCCTGTGGCAGCAGCGTCGGTTTCCGAACCGATAGGTGCTGAGAATGTGGGCAACAGGTTGTTACAAAAAATGGGTTGGACTGAGGGCCAGGGCCTTGGAAAATCAAATCAAGGAAGGACGACCATTATTCAAGCGGAGCAAAGGGCTAGCACCGTCGGATTGGGCAACAAATCGGGTTCGTACCAGGCATTGGCAGGTGAATCCTATAAGGATTGTGTGAAAAAAATGATGTACGCAAGATATCAAGAACTATCTGAAAAGGACAACTGAGAATTAGTTCCGTTGTTTTCTGTGCCAAAAGAACGTATATATATATTTTGGCCCTATTCGGGGAAAACACACTTAATAAGCCTTAAACGAAAAATAATTTGCTTTTGTAGAATAATTAATTATTACTCATTAACTATGCATTATGTTAATATCGTACGATATATGATTAATTTTGAAACACGTCTTTCTGTACAGTACATTAGGTTTAGAGAAATAGCGACTAGTTTAAATATAATTGGTGATTCGGATGAACGTTTCAATGATTTGTACAAATTTAATCCAGCTTATTGCGATTCATATACTTCTGAATGTATCATTTCAAAGCAAATTGGTATTAAAATATTTTTTTTATTACGAAATAAAGATAAGTTTACATTTTCAACATTAAGACATTACGTTTCATTCAAGACTTTTCCATCTTTCTGCGATTTTCTAGTGGCATTCTCGAAATCCGCTTTGGTGATTATGTTGAAGTCTATAATCGAAAGGCTGGGCTCCGGCAGAACTACGATTGTCTGTGGAGGCGGCGACGACGACCGATGATCCCTGAAAATTGATTTTCTCGGGCTCAATTTATACCTGAATGTTGGCTCATCCGCGTCCGATTCGCTCTCGTAATAAATATTAATGTCCTTGTAATGGATGGGCGCTTGGATTCGCGTCGTATTTGGTCTAGTTCTGTTCGAACTTGAAGGGGATCGGTGTCTCCTAGGTCGTTTCTTTTTCAATTCCTGAGTTGGGCTTATTGGAATCACGCCAGTTACTTGGTAGTATTCCAAAAATGCTTTAATCAAGTTTCGACCGCATCTCTTATCTAATTGGTTTTAAGGAAATATATATTATTTTTTTAAACTTATTCCTAAAATATTTTTTTATATTTTGTTTTTGTAAAGATACAGCTATCCTCGGTATAAGGAATTATGGTGTCGGAGCCTTTGAGTTTATAGCCGAAAAGGGAAACTTCGAAGGTGTAGGTGTTTATTTTGTCGTTGAGATTGGCGCAAAAGAATCGGCGGGCGGAGCCGATCTTGCTGCTATCCGAATTATACATGCAATTGTTAGGTTGGTAATCATCCGCCAGGTTTGCGAAAAGTTTGGGAAACACTATATGTCGCTCATATCTAGCAGGCAAAGAGACTTCTGTTATCGAAGACAGGAAACGTGTATAGAGTTACCTGTACACGTCGTCGTAGGTGTTTCCGTAAACGAACGATCCCAGCAGAGTAGATTGTGCGTGTATATCTACAATGAAATCCAATTGGTAGTCCTGAAATTAAGGGTTGGGGGAATTTATTTATAGTTTTGATGTGATTGGAACTGCTGGTCCTACCTTACTTTTATCGATTGCCGTTAGCAATTCGATGACTGCTGTTAGAGTCGGGTGTGCGAAGGGTGAAGCGCGGTGCCAAGATCGATTCAAATCGAAACCCATCAGGGAGCTGCGATAGTTCCCCAAGAACACCCCATCCGGATTCAGCATCGGAATTATTTTGAAAACGACATTGTCCCTGAGAGTGTTGGCGATCGCGTGCGAACTCACCAATAATTCGATTAGACCTAGTCAAATCGTAAATGGGGTGGGTTCAGAGCTTAAAGGTATTTCATTTTTATTCGCTACCTTGGCATACAAAGCTTGACGGAGACTCGCCTGGGTGTACTCTCGCTATAATAACGACCACCCTCCGCTTCTCAGCCGCCCTTTTTGGCACGCTCCCTATTGTCAACACATCCGCTCTCCGCTTTTGCTGAAAAACACACACACAACCACACATACAAACATTGATTTCCGCTTTGTCGTTTTCTATTTACAATGCTATTAGCGAGGAGCTCTCTGCAGAAGTTGCCTTCCAAATGCTCGGCCCTCGATTCGAGCACCTTCAAATATCCCTGGCAGCGGGTGTAGCTGTAGGGGAACGTCAGTGCAAATTGGTACACCTCATCCTCCCTGTCGAAGTTAAAGGCGAAACTCAGGACGAAATGGCCCCGGTGCATCGGCGATTTGTGATAAAACACGTTTCTCTTCGGGATGCGCTGCCTTCAACCCCCCAAAGAAAAAAAACAATAAAATACTACAAAAAACACAATACATAGAATAGAATTTAACGTGAATGTGCATAAGAAATATCTCCCGCTGCATGCGACTCGCTATTCTTCCCCTCTTACCATTTAGGCCTTGTTGATGATTTTACTATTGGGGTCATACTCGCATTGAACAAATTCCTCCCTTTGCTCATGTTCACTATATTAAAAATGACCCTCTGTAACGAAACAAGCCTTCTGGTGAGCTTGGGGTGACAAATCAACCCCTTTTCTATTCAATTCACATATACATATATATAATTTTTCTAGTGTGTCATGTTCGTGTTTTATATTCTATTTATAAAAAAAAATACGTAGAGATGTTAAAAAACAAAATAAGCAAACCGTTTCATGAAAATCATCAAAATGAAACACCTCGTAGCGCGTTTAAAGCAAGCACGAAATAGGGGAGCGTGCAAAAAAAAAGATGAAGGAAGAAGAGAAACCAGGACTTCATCCTTTCCGATCGATACTTAATACGGCGCATGTTAAAATTCGCTCATGGAACTGGGGAAAATGCCTCTCGCTACGATATTTCTGGATAATTATTGTAACATTCCTCTCTAATTTTCCAGCGAATTCTCTCCCATTAATTAGTTCTATTTCGAGATTAGTGACGTGCTGAACGTTTCATTAACACAAATATTTCATTATTTTCTTTGTACTCGAGCACCGGTTGCTAATTGGAAATCGCGTACTACGCATTCACTCATGAATGAAATTAGGACAGGACTCACGTTTTGCTGAATATAGATCGCTTTAAAGGGAATACCTGCATCTATATCTATACATCCATCTATGCGTCGAACCGGATAAAGAGGGGTTCCTCCTTAATCTGAAAATTTATGCGTTACGTTTTTATTTTTTTTTCTCTCTCGATGTTTTGTTCCTGCACCCAAAAAAATTCATGCACGAGAGGGTTAAAAACCCTAACTGTTATTTGTTAGGGTCATATGGTCCCTATCCCAAGGAATATCCGTTATAGCCTTCGAGCTATACTTATTTTTAATGCACGCCAATAAGGTGATGTATACTTTGAAATTTGAGTAAACAACTCAATTTTGACAATTTTATTGAAAGAGGCTTTCTTATTCCATAAGCGAACTTTAACGTAATTGATCATTCATACATTTTCATCATCATGAATTAGAATTTAGTTTTAGTTATGAATTGTAATATCGCAGCTTTTCCACTATTTAAATCTATTACAACCAAATATATCTTTGCATATTTTATTTGAAATAAATATACTAAGAAAATTTTGAGAAAAAAACTACCTTCTTTCAGAAAAATTATAATAATAAATATTGTATCAACTATTGATCAAAAATATATTTGAGTCATGTAACAATAAGATTTAAAATCAATGTTCTAATTATTGTGATGATAATTGTTTAAAATGTAAGTGATGCGATAATTCAATTTTTAGCTTTGATGTATTTGCAAATGAGGTGATGAGATCACAAATTTGAAATTGTAGATATAGATCAGCGCAAAAGGAGATTGAAAGGAGATTTCTGAACAAAAATTGGGTAAAAACAAACACCAACCAAAATGGAAGTGGTGGACAAAATAATCACACTTGTAAGTAGCACCTCTAATATTACGTTCATGTTTCGGTGTGTGTAACTCTGTCTCACTCTCTGTCTCTTTATATATACATTTATATATATATATATATATGTCCTTCTTTATCTCTCTTTGCGTGTGTGTTTGTGTATGCCTCTATACCTAATCTACCTGATCTTGGCGGACATTGTCGACTGTGAAGTTGAACCAAAACCTGATTTTTGGGTTGCATGTGTCCGGCCTGATGAATAAGTCATACTCGTACTCGTTAATGAGATCAACTCGACCCAGGTTTCCGGTTTCGAAGGAAGCGTCGAAGCACAAATGTCCACGCTTGGCTTTACCGCTGTGTCCAGGTGGTCTCATAATCACCCTGTTTACATTCCCCAGGCCACCCTCGCCATCACTATCGTCGCTATCTGTGGAACCAACAACAAAAAAAAAGAACAATAATATATATGTAAGCACATTGCATAAACGTTACAGACGCACACGCACACAAATACACACATTCAACAGCAAACCGAAAATCTCTTAAATTCTTATTAAAAAATTCATGCGTGACCGATCACGGGACCGGCAATTATCAAACATCTGGTACCGCATGCAGTGTAATTAAAATTGTACCCTCGATGCGCTGGTAAATGCTGGTGTGCTGCAATGGATCGCATCCCATGTCCATTGCTAACCGGAGGATAACGAACTTTCGGCTGCGGAGCTTTCGTCGCTACTAAAGCCCTCCTTCGAAATGTCCAAAGGTACTCCGTGCGAAATGTTATCATATGATTCGGATCTGATAAATGCACGGAAACCGCAGAGCCTAATAATGTACAACGCGATACTAGCAACTTCACACCAGGCACGCAGCCCATCACCTTCGGCCCATTAACGGTAATTATTGCAAAAGAGCTCCCCGATAACAGAGCCAACCTCGAACGCGATTCGTATCCGGAAATAAAGCATATTCACACGATACACAAAACTTTGATTCCATTCCGAAACATCACGTCACCGCTTGTACAGAACCACGGAAGCTTTCCGTCATCTGCTTACATAATTAACAGCAACCAAACAAGAAATAAAAAAAAAATAAGAAACGTATTTGTAGAATGCTTAAATATATGAATGTAATAAACATACTGCTTTTCATTTCTTCACCCAAGTAGTATCCAATGAAACAGGGTTGTAGTTGTAGCTTTTGTAAATGTGCTTATTTATATCTCAACAAAACTAATTCGAAAATTAATTTGAAAATAATTAATAAAACACTTTAATCACAGTCATTATCAGATCAGCTTCTTGATAGTTTATTTAAACATATTTGTTTACAATAAAATATCAATAAATTTAAATAATACAAATTTACTGAGCAATTCCATTTACTTACAAAGATACTTTTTATACTTCCAATTACTTTCATCCTTGATTCAAAGACACTATACTTAGTATATTTGTACAATTTACCATATTAGTGCTAGCTTTATTATAATACTAAATTTAAGAAATAATTGAATTAGTCAGAAGGTAAGTTCAAAGGGACTCTGGGACCCTAATGTTGATGGTATTCTTTTCTGCATTGGCACCCTTTGCTTGTTCAAATGTGGAGATCAATGACTTGTCAGATTATGTAAATATCATCAAATGCAAGCACAATATATTTAGGTGGAGCGTGTACGATATAAAGAAAAGAGCTAGAATATATGGAAAAAAAATATATGGATGCATCTGAAGGACATTTGCATGCGAAACTTGTTTTCTACTTAAAAAGTAGATACAACACGGGGGGACAATCCTTGTCCTCTCTTTTTCTCGACTGTCGTTGGAACGTGGCCAGACATCTGAATCCACGTGAGTTAATTTGTAAAGAAAAAAGCATCATTCGATTTAGTACAAATATACAATAGAAAATGTTCCACGTGGCATTTCTTGTACAGCTTTATCTTTATATGCTTAAGGTATGTATAAGTATAAAATGAAAATTTATAAATTTAATTAACATTTTCTCACAAATATTATGACCGATTTATCGAAGTTTTTTTCTATAATGGCATTTTTTTTTTAAATTTCAAACTTGATCAATACATTTAATTTTCAAGGTTTCTCATACTTTATACTTATAACAAATAAAATTGTTATTTCTTTTCCTCTTACTGTAAAGTATGTTAGTTTAAAATGTAAGGGTAGAATTCCCTCGAGGGATTAAGTTAGTACATGCGAAACCTGGTCTTTCGTTAACGGTAACACGTTGCAGTTGTCACCAATAGGTATACAATTAAACTATAAGCTATTGTTGATTTTTAACGATTGGCACCTTTCACCTATCATTTTATATCTTACAAAGGTAACTTTATACTCAACATAAAGTTAAGCACATGTCGATAAATCAATGAATGCAAAGAAACTTTACAACGGATAAACAAACCAAAAATCACACATCGATTTTATAAAATTATGTACTTGGCAATGCGTGATGTGAACAGTGGCCATGGCAACAATTAAAATCAAATTATCGTGTGTTCAGCATTGATTATACAATGTAAAACAGACATTTGTGACAAAGCGAAGGTAGAGCACGAATCCAATTAAACGCCATTACAGGCGGGCTTAATTAAATGTTCGTTCAATTGAATAATAGTCGAATTATTAGTAAATTGAGTTTTAGGCAAAAACAATTACGTTATTACATTTTTGTTGCGCTTTCAATTAAAGTTGAAATTCAGTCGACGCTTGGGACAACTCAAGCCGATGCCAGGCGTGCATTTTCAACCCTCCTAATAATGTCTTGCTCGAAGGCAGCTGCACACTTTTTGGTCTATACATATGCTGTCTCCGAATAGTGTTTTTTTTTATATAGCTTTACACATATGACAATCAAGAAACATATATGTACCTCCATCTGTATTTTAAAAAGGTTTGAAGTATCTCTAAATATTTTTGTATACACTTAGAAAATTTGTAAATGTATATAATTTAATAATATTAGTAATTGTATTTAATATGATAATTATTTGGAAAAAAAAATTGGTGAAATTCGTTGCAACCCTACTAAATAAATGTTCTCCTTGCTCCATCGACTGGAACGCCGCGCATATCATTCGTTAGAAAAACCGAAAACCCGTTTTGTCATGTTGAATATACTATTTAGTTTCCACATTTACATAAAAAGCGTGCAACAAAAGAAAGCGAACGCAGGGTGGACGTGCCTAGGGTTAATAGCCCTTTGCAGCTTTCACGGGTGAAGAATTGTAGGTTGGCGACCTCGACTCTATCTATCGTCCCTTAATTCCTTATTTAAGTGAACTAAGCCTAATTTCGGCAAACCATTCTTACCTTATGCTGCTTATAAATAAAGCAAGTGTTTCTATTTTGTTTGTAAAAATATTGATTGAGGAAAAATATTAAATCTCAGAACAAAAAAATATTTCTCGATATTTATATGTGAATTCACATAAATCTTATTGGATTCATGATATTTATTTTGACAGTTAATATTAGGATACTGTAGAATTCTAATTATTCTGGATATTAAAACACTCCCCCTTGGGGGACGATCTTTTAGATGAAATTCCGAATATTGCTTTAATTTCAAATTACTCAATCAAAGGTATTGTATACTGCAATGAAATTCTTTTATTGGTATTGTAAACATTCTTGTTTTTTTTTCTCTGTATGAAAAGTATCAATGTTCAAATATTTAATTAATTCCATTTAAAAAAACTCCACTTCTTAATAAAAAAAAAGAGATTTTACAATGAAAATGCGATTCGGCATTCCGGGTTACTCAAACGATTTATTTTCAAGATATTTACTTCAACAGTATTACAAGCTTCTGGAAGCGCTTTGAAGATATGAAATACATTTCTGGAGGGTGTAAAAATCCTTACACGGAAGCAATTTGCGAGTAATGCGATTTTATGTATTAAAAAATAAATATATTCTTTTCGACTTACAACGAATTAAAATTAAATCCAAATTCATACAAGGAAATAATAAAATTAAGAAATATGTACACAAATTAAAAGCTTTTATTTCTTAATTATTAACTACAAATAAGTTAATAATTGTGAATTTACTGTAGAAGATTTTATTCCGTTAAAATAGATTTAGTTACAATTTGATTGGGTTTTAAGTGTGTAGTTATATTATTTAAGTAATTACTGATAATGTTTTTTTTTTAATTTTTGTAAACCGATTTTTTTATATTTCTAACTAAAAAATACAATTTTTGTAGCGCACCACACGTCGGCGCAATTCCTTCTAGTCCTGAGGTTTTAATCACCTGAAGGATTTCGATTTCCGGGTGGAGGCTTTCACTGAAAATTCGCGTCGGACTTTGTTGAATGCATAATTAAAAAAAACCGGAAAGTGGATTTTAAATACTCAAGTGATTAAATGACTATAGTTAAGTGAAAGCTTTTCTACGAAGACAAACCTGAACATTGCTAAAATAAAATTTGAAATGAACTTCATACTTTTATTTACATCATGAATATAATGTTGATTTGTTTTATAAACTTTTCGATAAATCACCATATGTGTGTATGCAAATTAATGAAAGCCTGGCGCGCGTAGAATTCGTAGTAATTCCTCGTAGTCGTTCTCGCTAATAACCAACACAACACATATGCCGATTTATATTTATATAACGGGCGCGCGTTTCTGTTTGTGCATACTTATATAATAGTAAATACGCAATTGCGCGTATTTATTGAAGCGATTATTCAACATTTCCATTTAATTGCGGCGTAAGCGTTCGTACAATTCGGGCATCGATTCGGGAGGGTGACCACAATTAAATTCTAGATATATCCGCCGTCCAGGAATATTAGTTTTGCTAATTGGACGGTCGTATTGTTTCGGTCGGGCGTGCTAAGGCCAGGGCTGGCGGTTGACGGTGGGCGCTCCTGTGGGGAACGCAAGGGGGGATACGGCGGCGGCGGTGGCGGCCGGTTAGTCCGTGTGGGTGGTCGCACCACCACCACCATGGGGGTTGGGTGTTTTGTGCAATTAAAATCAATACAACAAACCTTCACCGAAGTCACCCATTCGGAGCTTTTGCGGAAGACGTGCTCGTCGGCCGCAGTACGGAAGTTGACTGTTTGACAACCACCGCCTATGACAAATATGTCCGCCTAGCTGTAGTCCCGTTCCTTATTATTCTTCCTTTCTTTTTTGCACTTCCTCTCGTCCCGTTCGTTTCCCTTCCTTTTCCACCTTCGTTCCTTCTCATTTTCTGCCCCCATCTCCGCTTAATAACGTCTCCTAAGTCTATTTTTAAGTTTGATCGATACAGGCTTGGTTTCGCTTTCAGGCCCTGTCCCCCTGTGACTACATCAACTTTTCAATGGCGCTTTGTTCTCGCAGGGAAAACTGCGGACGCCCCAGTTTGCGTAATACATCCACATCGCTCCGTTATTATAATTGTTGAATAGTTCACGTATGCTGGTAAATATAGAAAACTGGGGCGGCGATGCACTCGGAAAATAGGTGTCCCGGTGCAATCACCTTTCGCCACTTCGATTCCTGCTTTGATTCAAATAGTACATCCCCACCAAGACTCATATAGAATCTATCATCTGAAACAATAATAGAATATCCTTATATACTTAACCAACCTTGAATATATTAAATGACATCAAATTACTTCGCAATTACTATTTAGATTTAATTATGATTCATTTATTTATATATCCTTAAATATCGTTTTACATGCTAAAACTGTATATTTGTTTTTATAAAAACGTTTCAATATCTATTAATGGTTATATAGTAGATATCATTTTAGCCACTCCTTTCAAGGCTTCTAATGCATATGATGGACGGAAATGTAACCATATAAAGAGTTCGCTATAAATACTGCTTGCCTATTGGCTGACAGTCTATTTCAGGGCGTTTCAATGTCTAATACACTACATTGGATAACAGATGGCGTATCAAAATGAACGAAAGCAAATCTCTGACTGTGACCTTCACAATGACAATGTAGCATAATATATGTGCACACACGAAATTGTCACAGGTTCAATTCTCATTAATAACAACAAATTTTCAAATACACAAAACAAGTAAATTAACGCAGGAACAATTTTACTTAAAAACATTTTTAATGACACAAATATAAAAGATACACAGTCATTCCATAGTGTATAAAAAAGATACGAGCGCATTAAAAGTACATGAATCCTACTCTTTTCATTTACGGTTGTCAATATGTGTACCTTGTATATTTGTAGCATTGTTTTTCTCTATTAAGTGATGATAGTTTCTAAAAAAACTGCATCAATTCAGTAAAATTCGTTGTGTCTTCTTCATATACTGTAACATTGGAATTTCATCCGATAGAAATAATTGATTTCTAATATCATTTGCGAAACTTAATCAAAGTTTTCTCATCAAGAAACTAATTACAAAAGAATTTTATATAATAGATCCTACCCACCTATCTTCCAAACTAATTTGGAATATAGATATTAATCTTCTCCCTACACATTACTTACACTTTTGTTACAAATTTAGCACATTGCTAATGAAATGGCTAATTATATGTTTATTATCAATGCCACAAAGCTACTTAAAAACGTATCAAACCGTATATAAACATAACTCACAACACCTGTGTTATAGGAGTTTCCCTCTGTTCGCATCCACGCCCAGCTAAAACCGATAAACGATGAATTATAAATAGGCTCATTGAAAATTTCATAACCCAAGCAACGGTAGGAACATTGTAGGCCTTGCGGTTTTTCCAAGTACAAGGTCTCAGTCATAGAATATCCGATGTGCTCGTAAAGTATTCTTCGTGTAATAATGGTTAGTTGGCGTAGGCCAATTGTACATCGAACTTCAGACGTGAATTATTCATGATGTTGATTGGTAAATTAGAACGTCCGCTGAAGAGCTGTAAAACATGGATGATGAATGACATTTCGATGAAAAGCAGCAATTATTATGAGAGCAGCAATTATATGTCGATGAGCTGCATGTGATTCGAAGAAAAGCCTCGAGTACGAAGTAAATCCAATCGTTATTGGAAACCAAGTGTTTGTTGAAGAGAATTGAACCCTAAGCGACTGAGGGTTTCGCTTTGATTAATCGAAATCCAATACGTGAAATATTAACGATCCTATTCCGACTGCAATTCACAACAAAATACAGTACGAAAGAGCGAACGAAAAAAAAGTACAACAACTTGTTTCTGTTACGCCCTCAACTGTGCACGAATCGATACTGGTTAAACCTACCAGGAAGGACTCGTTTTTCATAGCTTCCAACGCGATCCTGGCTGCATGGATAATGCAATTAAATTACTCAATTACGTTAAATTATTCATATACTAAATTAATATTAACTCTCAACCACTCTAAATAGATGCATTTATTATGCAACTGGACTGATGTCTGATCAAACCCCTTAATCTTTGATGATTTCGACGGCCACGAATCAATAAATAACTGTTGCGCAAATTTGTACAAATCTTTTACAATCGCCTAAAGAGTAACAAATTCATCAAATGCTTAACACAAGATAAGATGTTACGTTCTCCCGAATCATCAATCATAGTGAACTAGATAAAACTACGTAAGACACGTTTCGTCAATCAAGCGCAAAGTTTATTTAGTCTCTTCTAAGCAATTTTTTTTCTCCACACATTTATTTTCCAATTCCCGAATCATTGTGTTTGCAATTCTGACCATATTTGAACTTGTTTTATTATTTAATAAAAAAAACTGTCTGGCTTGGAGCAAAGAATAAATAAATCACGAAGAATAAACCTTCTATGCATAAGTAAGAAAAATAAGATAAACACCAGAAACGATAAACATTTGAGAAATACATGCTTTTATATTATTTCTTTTTCCAACAGTTCACATTTTAACATTTAATACATGAAATCATTTTAATTATAAAATCAATAGTTATTACAGAAATCATACAATTATTACATATAAAAGAGTGAAATAAAAATTATAGAATTTATTTAATGAAAAAAAAAATAATAAAATTAGTCGATAAATGTTGTCGATTTTTGCGAAAATATAAAAATTATGCATTGGAAAATCTATTAGTGAACTCTAGTTAAGATGAGAATATCTAGTTAGTGGGCGAATTCGATATGCCTACTAGGGGATTGAATGGTCTATTTGCACCACGAAACAATTGTTTGCTTAAAGCCAACACTTTTAGATTTACACAGATGATGAAAGTTTCCAGATTCATATTTGCACTTTCTCTTTATTCCTTGAAGAGATTCGCTAAAAATGCAAACCAACTTTAGGACTTATCATTATTTATATTTTGGAAAATATATTTTTTTTAACAGAATACAATTGTTTGTTATTTTTTAATATAAATATTATTTGAATATAAAATTTTCACTTATTTTTATTTTCATTAAAATTTTTCAAAAATATTTGTCTCTTGGGATATATGCGAAATACGTACTGTACTTTTTGTGTGTGCAAACCACACCCTTACGGGATGGATATATTACTTTATACTCTTGGAAGGGAAAGCTACATCCTTTTTGGCACAGCATACATTCTGCATGAAATGTATTGATTCCGAGTACATTTTTTGTCCAGTTTGAATCCAACAAGATTGTTAATTATGTTCCAGTTCCTACAGTATAAACTTGATTTGTTAAATTATGGATTCTGTAAGTAAGGAGAAAAGAAAACGCCTTTAATTAACGGAAGAAAAAAGTTAAAGTTATAGGAAAGTTTGCACGCTTCGGGGAGTTTCGTGAGCGTAAAATCTAGCAACTCCTAGACATGTATGTATATCAAATGTTTGCAGATCGATATGCAAATTACCTAAGCTCTCCGCAAAGTTCCACACCTTGCTAAAAGCTTTCATTTTGAGCTGTATTATAATACTACGACAAATCGATTCAAGTATACACATTTATAATAGTTTAACAAATGTAAGCTTTATTTCAAGCAATTTTGCGAGTTACAACTTCTTTTTGGAATTAAGTTATTAGCAGATCGATAACTATATTAATTAAGCTCGATACCATATCTTTATGCTGTAACATTAAATTTTCAATTAAGCTGTTGTTTTATTTTTTTGCATCTTCAACAATTCTAAATATTGAATTAACTGTTTCCTATGCGCTTTTAACTCAGATTAAATTTAGTAGTAAATGAAAGTTTGAGTTAATATAACAATCTATTAATAAGCGTTTTAATAAAAGTTGTTCTGACTGAAACAATAAATATTTTTCAACGCCCATTGCGGCCTTTGAATTTAATATGAGATCCATTCAAAAACTTTGTACCTAGTTCAATGACTCAGTCATCCAAGCGGATTAGCTAAATTGATACCCGTATCGAAACGAGAATAACGGCGAAGCAAAGACAAACCAAAACGGATTTCGCAAAAATAAAACAGAATGAAACAAAGAGGATAAAATAGAGCTATAGCATCGATCGGGGGTTGCTGGGTGATGATTAAATTTCCGAACCGATGGCCTGATAATGTATCTCTGTAGCGTGTGTAATTCGGCCGATGCAAATTGCGTGTGGTGTGACCGAGCCCTGCAGAGGCGGGCCCTTTTTTGGGTGGTTAAATCGGGATAGGACAGGATAGGGATGGCGGCGACGGTGGCGGCGCAACCCGGAACTCTCGGTGTCAGAGCACAAAAATGAAATAGAAATCGAAATGAATAAAACGCGTATTTCCTATATACAGCTTCAGATTCGGATTTAATTTGAAGGAGTATTTGGGGTTGCAAATGTAGGTCAATGGATGGATATAGTTCTAGCTGTTACAACGTCTAAGATGAAGGACAACGACGGAATCAATGTTGGGTATTTTGGGTACTCTTAATTTTTGCGGTGAGATTTTCGGGAATTTTCTGAACTGACAACGAGATGTTTGCGATTGGGGGCGGCGCGCTGCGGAAGCTGCGAGGAGAGGTGAAAAATCGTGTGGATGAGATTGTGGTAAAGAGGAGAGAAGAGAAAGGAGAGAGGAAAAAAATGTATATGGTGAAGGAAGAGTGAAGAGGCGAACGGGCTGAGAGGGCCCAGCATGAATGGGGGGCGGCTTTGCCCGTGCCCCGGGCCAGGGGTGCACAGTTCGGAACGCGTGCGCAGGCTATCGACCGCACGGGCAACCCCTAGCCGACACCCTCCGCGCCATGCAACACCATTTAGTTATTGCACTCTCTGAATAACACTTGTGTTACGTTTGGTAGTGTACGTTATGTAATAATATCATTCCTTGCATAATTTCTTATTACTAATAATTCCTATAACTATTCTCTATTTAATCTATAGTATTCATATATTAATTGTTTATTTTATTTTTTTTAAGAAGTTACAAGGAAAAAGGAAGATACGATTTTCTTAAAGCTAAGTTATTAAATTTACTGTACCATTAGGTTGCTTGATCGTTTAGATATTGTTTGTTGTATAATTAACAAAGTAAGAAAAGAAAAGAAATAACAAGAACGAAGAAACGAAAGAAAGTACGTGCAATCTATTTATCGTGATCAATTTTTATAATATAACATAACGTATATATTTATATATATATATTATACTTATATATATATATAAAAAAAGTAACAGATAACACCAGCGTTTTTCACTGAGCAACTAAGTCATATTTTTATCTGCATTTCTCATCATCGTCATTATCTTTCGCGAGTGATAAAGCAGCAGTGGAGACCGAAACAAGTAATAAGTACATAGATATATAGATAGATAAATTTATATAAAAATATATTTAAAAAAAAAAGATTTGAACGAAAAATCTAATAATAAGAATATTGTAAAGAAATAAACAAGAAAAATCCGAAAGAAGATAAACGAAAGGAGACGCAAATCGTCTTAATATTTCACCGTAAAAAGTTCCGAGTTCATCCACCAACACGTTTAACAAAAACGCATTCAGTTTTGACTATAATTCGTACCTAAGATCATTGGGCGAAGCAGAAACACCAAGTGATACAGCCGAAAGGGTAAGCAATACAAAAATACTATTTACTACTTATATACGCATTTGTCGCCGCCACCGGTAAAAATATTCCTTCGTTCGTTTTTTGCGGACACGGGTACTTATAGTTTGTTGTTCTAATTGGAAATGATGGACTATTATGGGCCTATAAAGAACACACATTTTATTTGCATTTGTTGTTTGTTGATTGGTGATATTTCATTTAGTCCTTTGTTTTATTACTAAATATATAAAGCTAAGAGTGTAATGATTTGTGTGTGTGTGTGTGTGTGTGTGTGTGTTGCCGGTAGCAGAAACGCGGGGGTTGCGAGAAGGGAGTTGGCGTGGGCGATCAATACTATAGTCAGCCAGGCCAAAGAGCTTCCCGCCTCGGTAGTCGATTCAGACCGAGGCGATCTAAGAAGAAGTCTTTTCGCCAATCAGACTTGGAGCGGGGGCGGGCGTTGGACAAAACTACGGACACTAATTAGCAGTACTGTATGGTAGTACCGCAATAAAACGCGCAGCTGAAAAAATTGGTCGCCCTGGGTTAACGTCCTCACCATGGGGCACTTAACTAGTCTGGCCTAGGCAAAACTATCAGGGGTGGAAAAAAAGAGGGCCTTTTGTGAGACATCAGCTGTTCTCCACGCAATGCACCCTTCTACAACGGGATTCGGAATCGGGAAAAAAAAAATGATATAATAGACCTATCTCTCTCTCATTCTCTGTTTATATCTTTCTTTCACACGCATAATGTACATGTATTTTCAACTCTCCTTCTCTCTGATATTTATTGCCGAGGGTGGCTAGCCACCCCAATACAAAAATTGACCATATGCCACGTGCGAATGATAGATAGTCGAAAGAACAATAGCGCTACGAAGAACCAGTTTTCCGAAGATTGTTTCTATTTCTGGTTTGTAGCTGTAAGTCTGATTATTGATCCTTGCGATTTAGCTATCGGAGTATAGAGGTCTCGCTGGAGACTGCGTGATGGTTGGGGCAGCGGATCCGCAGATCTGGATGAGATCAACAGTACGCTAATCTGAACAACCAAGGACCCAGGGAGCGTAAATGCGAGCGAGTGAGATAGAAATGGAGGTTCAGGGAGAGGAAGGATTGGAAAAAGGAGGAAATAATCAATGGACGCCGGAGCGTCGGAGGGTCTGGCGCAGACGCGGTTTATTTGGGACCCCATGTAGCAGGAGTTGAACTGGTCTATGAACAGCAGTATGAGTTTAGTTAGTGAGCGTGGAGGCTGCCGTCGCCCCACTTTTATTTTTTAGTTTTCACAAATCTACATATATTATTTTCGTCGTTTTTTTATATACCATCATATAAATACACAACACTCTCGAATATAAATATATATACATATATTTATTGGTATAGATATAGACATATCGCGTGTACGTACGTGTATCTATGTACCTGGGTGTAGATCTGTATTTATATTTCGGCAAATAGATACGGACGCATGTGTGCGTTTGATTAAATTAATTTAACCAGTTTAGCGAACGAAAAGAACTCAAAATCGAACCGTATTTGTACCGGCTTCTCAGATATATATTTCTGTATACAGCAACAAATACCGCAACATAATTGTAGTAGTGTGCTCCGTGAGTGCGACGTGATCTATAATCGGGAACTTAATACTATAAACCGTGTTAGTTGCATACTTAGGTACGTATAATATTGTTTATAAAAATGTCATGTCACATAAGGCGTCATTGGATGGCGTTTTTTTTTTTGCTGTCGCTCGATCCAATTGGTTCCTGTTGTTATCAACCATCATAAATGTGCGCTACTCGCTCCCTAAGTTCTCCCTCCCATCGACGCAGCAGCGAACAATAGCCGCCCATGCAAATCGAATCTACCCTCTATCCACCCTAAATTTTCGAGGCACCACCCCTCCTGTAACTACTACTACTACTGCTGCAGCTACTATTAGTACTACAGTACCGACCAAAAATACAGCACGCACAGAAAAACCGAGCCTCCGTCAACGAACCCACGCCGCTCGCTCACGTACAATCGATACGAGACCATCCGGTTTTCGGTTCTAAACATTTTTTCCTCTTCAAGAGTTTGTGTGTGTTTTTTTTTTGTTTATCCGACCACGTGCATACTTTTATAAATAGACTGTATTGTATAGCGACCAGTCGAATAAAACTGTAACGTGAATATTATTATATTGCGCAAATATATTGGCATTCTGCACGGATCGAAACCCATGTGCGTGTTGCGGTGAGTTTTTAGCTCTTCTTATTCTTCTTCATCTTCCGCCCGGTTGACTTTTTTGCTGTGCACTGTCCATCCGAAAGCTTAGATTTTTAGGGATTTGTATATGCTTCTTTGTCCCGAAATAGATCACAGCAACTAAAAATAAACAGAATTTCATATTGATGTGTCGCGACGCACACACACTCCTAAATCTCTTACAAGCATATATACTTCTATCTCTGTGTATATATATATATATTTATGTACGCATACACTAGGAAGTAACCGACATAATACGAAAGGAAAGAGCGGGCGAATTTAATTGGTGAAGAAGAGAGCTTCTATTCCGGGTCGCGTGTGGGAGGGGTTTCGATTGCGCTTCCGGTTTTAGGTAACTTCCTGTTTGAAACGGAGCCAGATCCAAAGATTACCTCAACGACAACTAAATAAATAATGAATTACCTAACATGTGCCTAATAACATTAAGTGATTTTGTGTATTTTCCGTTGCGTTTGCTTCATGCGCTTTTGGTTTGCAGGAGAAAGAATCATTGAAGGTCTTCGTCGACAGTATTTATTTAAAAGAATCCAAACTGAAGCTTGACGGCAGTATGATGTCCAACGGGTTAGACGCCGGCGTTGTGGGACAACAGAATGGCAGCACCAACGTCCAGGGTGGTGGCCAGGAGGAGTCAAAGACGAATCTCATCGTCAACTATTTGCCCCAAACCATGACACAAGAAGAAATCCGATCGCTCTTCTCGAGCATCGGTGACGTAGAGAGCTGCAAACTCATCAGAGATAAAGTCACAGGTAAGCACCAGCAAAGATCAGCGCTTTTTGCTCACTTCTTTCTAAGCATTGCCGTCCCATACAAACATGAATCGCCAATACTAAAACCTTCTGCTTTCATCTTCGCTTTCAATTGTATATCTAACTCAATTGTTTGAAATTTACAATCGAAGAAGAAAGCGGCAGGTCTAGGAATTACTTGTGTCGTCAATATTCTAACATTAAACTATTTAAATAGTTAACAACTTGTTTTAAAAAAAATTACTATACATTTAATTTATTCTACACTAATTGAATGAAATCATTTAAGTAAAGTATTTCTAATAAGTAACTATAATAAGTAACAAGAATGTGAAGTACTAATCTTTCATTTGATTCTTTAGTTCATCATTGTGATAACTTTTGTACATATAGAAATGCAAGCTAATGTTGAAGACCTATAGCGTTCATGTGAATATGGGACGAACGAATCATATCGTATTTCTCCTATCTTTTAACATTTCTTTGCGTTATAAAACATTAAACATATTTCGTTGCCTTATTTTATTATTTTCATTTTACTCTCTGTCTTCCCCCCTCTTTTGTACGTATCACTCGGCGAGAAGTCTAAAAATATAGAATAATATTAGCTAATACTAGTTATAAATTTAATCAAGCGGTATAACAAATTAGGGGACGTCTGAGATACAAATTGGGAGGATAAAAAGATGTAGGTAGTAGGCGTTTGCCTAGTCTGCGAAACCAAAAGAAACATACCATAAGCGATTCTTTCGGGGAAACACCCGAATACTTGTTTTTAAAGCCCTTTAGTTGCCAGCAGCTAGCGGCTATCCAAGTCGGTACTACAACTATGATTTGCATTATTACGTTTGAGATGTGCTTTAATTTATACCGGCACGGCAGTTATTTAGAGACACTCCGTGCTATTCTGATGCGGTGCCAAGAAAGAAATATTGTAATTGATTTCTCCGGGTTGTCCATACCAAAATGCGGCCCGCATTCCATCCAACATTCCTCTTATCTCGCCTTCGGTTTGTTTAACTGCTAGTACGGATGTTGATACAAATATTTAATCTATTTTTAATACGCACAACACACATATTCTTCGGATCTCTTGGTGGAAATTAGTTATTTGGTCCGCCTCGAAGTGCGTAATTGCGTGTTCTGTTATTATGAATACTATTTGATTGGTTTTCGTGTCTAGCCAGTTAGCGGCATCCTGCGTTTAGCGGGTGTCAAATCGCGGTGGGACATTTAAATTCGCCATTTTGTCCTTGTCCCATTCAGTCGGAATGAGTCACGGGCACGTGTTATAACACATATATATATACATCGTGTATATATGTCTGTATATGCATGCGTGTTCGTGTGTATGTATATACTCACTCATTCACGTTCAGTTGGGGGAGTCTCCCCTAATCAAAGCACCCGAAAAGTATCGACTATCATAATGGTAAAATAAAATAAAGCACATTGAGAGCGAGCGTCTGCATTATCGCGCTTAGTAGATGTAGGATGACGCATGTTTCCGTTAAATAATCGAGAGCAAATGCGGGAGAGAATACGCAACGCCAGGCATACCATACCTACTACATACTACGATGACGACGAGACACGGAGGAAACAGTAATAATGATAATAGCAATAAATAATGAAGAAGTAACAGCAGTAAAAAAGAAACAGTATGTTCAATGTTTTATGATCGCGAAACATGTTGGCCTCTTCTCTTTTTCGTTTTCCTTTTTTTTTTATTAATAGTTCGTTTTTTTTTTTGCAATTTTTATTGCCTGCAGTTCCGGTCGGAGAATTGAGTAGTCCGTTGGTTGCAGGGCAAAGTTTGGGGTACGGATTTGTAAACTACCACCGGCCAGAAGATGCAGAAAAGGCCATAAACACCCTAAATGGTCTGCGACTGCAAAACAAAACAATCAAGGTATGGAATAGTTAGAACGAGTTCTCCTGACGATCCGCCAACAAACAAAAAAAGAAATATAATAATAATAGAATACTATACAGATACTATAAAAATAAAATAAAAAATATAAAACTGAAAACAAAACAAAGACAAAATAAATTAGAAATGAATGTAATAGTGTAACTAGTTAAAAGACATGCCGGTCTCGACCGCACAAATTGTTTGGCCGATCTCCATTTGACGAGATGCGCATTCCGCAATTCCTCACTTCTGTTCTGTACTTGTTCTTTTGTTATTTCGTTTTTCAGTTCTATTATTTATTATGTTTTTTGATTTTGTTTTGTTTAGTTGTCCTCTCTCTCTCTTTCTTTATATATACATATATATAATTGCTTATATATATATATATTTGTATATAACACAATGTCTCTTTGTGTCTCTATCTCTCTGTTTCACTACTCACCACTTTCAGATTTGTATGTGCGTGCGTGTGTATGTATTCTGTCTATCTTGTTTTATTTTGTTTCCTTCCATTATTCTTTCATTCTTTATTTCGCCCCCCAGGTGTCGTACGCAAGGCCAAGTTCAGAAGCAATCAAAGGTGCCAATTTATACGTGTCTGGTTTACCTAAAAACATGACACAACAGGATCTTGAATCTCTCTTCAGCCCTTATGGCCGAATCATCACATCAAGAATCTTATGCGATAACATCACCGGTAAGAAAACCACGACCACTTTGTATATGACAATATATTCATATATATTAATATCTATATATATATATACTACGTAAATATGAGAAGTATATATAACATATTTTTTGTTTTGTGACCATTTTTTGAAATGCTCAGAAATTCGATGGACCAAGTAACGAAAAAGATAAAGAAAAGAAAAAGAAAAACCGAACGACTGTAACAGAAATAGATCACGAAAGTAAGCGAAAGAACATGACGAGGTCGGAAACAAGGGTTGTTTCACGAGCGGCGACCTTATCATTTGTTGTTGTTATATTTTTGATTATTTTTTTGAATTATATTCTTTAGTTCGTTTTACCTTTATTTGTTTGTTTTTTGGAGGTATGCAATACGAAAAAACGAGACGACGAGTGGTTCCTTTTATCAATGTTTTTTTTTTTACTTTGTCGTTCTTATTATTGATAACAGTTCTGTTGCTGCCTTTTCTGCAATTTTTTTGTTGATGCCACAGTCACAGTACCATACATACAGAATACATCAACATACAATTGCAGTTGTTTATTATATATTTACATTGATTTTATTTTTTTAATTAAATATTAATTCGATTATATATATTTTTTTTTACGTTCGAGTTTATTAATTTTACTGGATGTTCGAATTTTTTTCTCTTTTGTTTTTCTTTTTTGTTCAGTTATGATTTCGTAGTTTTGAGTTCGATTGGTTTCATTAATTTCAGTTAATTCAGTCTTAAAAGTTTTTTGATAATATTTTTAGCTTCAATTATTATTATTATATTTGTCTTACTGTACCTATATTTTGCGTTTTTTTCTTCTCTTCCCTAGTACGTCAATTTGTCACGGGGGCCGGAGAGAATTTGCCTGGTACGTACTATACCTCCTCTCTCTTTTTTACACCCCACTAACACCACCTACAGTCACCAGCCCACTCTTTGGTTGTTCTGTTCGGGTTCGCGAAAAAATTAAATAATTTTTTGTTTAACTCAAATCGTTTCTAATGGTCGAGATACAAATTTATACTGCATTCATTATCGATCCGGAATTTGGTAAAATTAAAATAGTACGAATATAATTAAAATAAATAAATAAAAAAAATTAAATTATTAACAATAAGTAAATAAACGATGCTAATGGTATGAGAGAATAAAAAAATGGGTACACCACGAAACCACCTAGAGAGATTTTTTCCTTCCAATTACGTGTATGTGTTTCATACTTTTTTTTTATTTGATTTTCTGTTTCTGTTACTACACCCTCCCCTCGTGCCGCAGTTTATTTCTGTTTGGGAACGAAGGAAGGGAAGGTCTCCCTTTTCGCGCCGACACCTTCGGCCTGGATGGGGGACAACGCGATTTTTTTTCTCTAAAATTACAATACCATCCAGAAAACTAACCCCCCTTTCAATTGACGAATTCCATGATATTAATTGTATTTTTTTTTTACTTTGATTTTGTTGACTCCACTTCGCTTATATCCATTTTATATGTTTATATTATATATATGTTATTTGTGCATCGTGGCATGGAAGATATTATTTGCTGGTTATATTATATATAATTTTTTATTTATTTATTTTATATTATTATTATTATTTTAATTGACAAGCAGAGCAACTCTGAACACAACACACCAAGTATACTCGTTGAATTCTGGCGTTTTTTCAGACCCTACAACATTTATACTCACTCCTCTTTACATCTTCTATCTATCTATAGACGTATTATGTGTATTTCTATATCCATCCATCTATATATATATATAGGCGACACCGTCTATTACATAACAATACACATAGACCATCAACTAACTGACGAATAATAGCAGACCAGATCCAAACCACTAATGCTGTTTATGAATATGAAACTTTTTCACATCAATAATCACGACGAGCTAATCGAGGGAAATTCCCTTTCCCCATCAATCGCAGTACACGCACACCTAACATACACCCACACACATCAAACACGATCGCTCTTGCGCCTCAATTTTCTACGTTAAACAACTTCAAATATACTATAAATGTGGTCCGTTTTCCTCGCAGAGGAAACGCTTAATTGTTTTCGTTCTGTTTTCTTTCTTGCGCAACGCCAATCTGGCTCTGTTCTGTTTTTTTTTTCAATTGCATCCGTTTATTGCGAGCAAATGAGTAATGTTATCCATCCATTCAATGATCCGTAAAATTACGATTGATTATTAATGCAATTACTCGATAAGTATTTTATCACGTTTAAATGTTGTCGATAGACATAAATTCTGTCGTATAAAACACAAGTTATTAATTCTTATTGATATAGCAAAATTATGTTCTATGTTATAAGATTTGTGACAAATTAGAAATATTGTTACAAGCTATTGAGCTTATGCAGTAATGGCTGAAATGTTCATGTATTTATAGTTAGTTGATTCACCACGATAAATTTAGGATGCTTAAGTTAATCCTAAAATAGTTGAAGTTCTATTGAAAATAATGTTTGTATCTAAATCGCAATAATAGCCAAATGCATACAATTATTTTTTATCTACTAACTAATTTATATAAAGCAGTCCAGATATCGATTACATATAACCAAAATAACCTTGATACTTGAACAAAAAATATCAATAATAAAATGAATATAAATATAATTCTAACAAAAAACAGGTAATTTTAATCTTAAAGTAGTTGATAAATCATCTAGATTCATTTTTTCTTTTACAAATTAGCGATACAAACGCGTAGCAACATGTATTGAAGCATGGATGTTTGTATCCAGAAATAATTAAATGCCATGGAAATTTATTTATAGACTCGCAACTCGTATCAAACATGAAATTACGACTATTTCGCTTCGCCACATATGCCTTTATAGGTAATCAATGGTCATTGAAGTTCATGAAATTTTGATGAGTCGAATAACTAAAATAACTTGCCTTTGTCGGAATACTACAATATAACCAAAAGTAAACATCTATAAACGAACTAATAAAACTGGCTAAATGTAAATAAAGAATTTGTCACATTTGCTGTAAACATACAGTGGCAAATTTATTGTTTTGTCAATACAAACACTATTGTGTTGTCCATACTTTGTTCTTTAGATTCTTTCGGTCGATGATCCCAATTTCTAAATACATAATATTGCATAAAGGTTATTAACCAATTAAGTGTGGCATAATCGTAAATCACTAAACGTTATAAAATTGTATAGTGTATTAAATATATATTCGATATATATTTCAACTTAATGGTTATTATTGAATGAAAATCGATACGAGAATGAAGGAATTATTTAGTTGAGCATCGCGTTGCTTGGCATTTTAATGGTATTTCAGTTTAAATGTCAAAAATGATTATTTAGCAGTGCAAATTGCGTTTCCGCATTTCGCCTATTTTTAGGCATTCTCAGTATTTGGTAATTCGATAGTACACAATGCTTTGATTTGCTTCGAAAAACATTGACTAGAAATGTTTTTAGGAATTCGTGTGTATGTCGTGACGTTGTTTTCATTCAACTCTGAGACAAGGTCATGTATATTTTGTAATGTTTACTAACATCAACAAATAAGAAAATACATCAAACCGGTAGATTAGTTCACTTTCTTATCTTAAGTACTGAATACAATAATTATATCATCATCATAAGCACCATTAAAAAGTACTTAATGTTTTGAATGTGATTGTTTTATCAGCATGATGACAAATCACATTGAATTATTTTTATAGTGTACTTTTAACCAGCTTATGAACATAAATAAAATTAACGATTACAATGAAATACTATTTACCCATTGTTACTTTGTTTCATTCAATAAATTGTAAATATCAATAACATAAAACAAATGTTTAGTTTAAAAAAAAAACAATAAAATTTTACGATCATTTATTGATAGTTTTCACTAATTATAGTAAGCGCTGCAGTAGAATTATTTAATATTTGTATTTTCAAATTTAAACTTTATGTAATGGAATATGAGTCATGTTTAATCTGATTTCCATCCAGACCACAGCGAGAAGAGCTGCCGCATACCGACACCCAAAAAAAGGGGAGAATACAATGGGGTGCAGGCAAAGGGATTATTGCAGATTACCCTAGTTTAAAAAGTGCATTTACTCAGGGGGACGAACCCCAAGTTTTGTTAGTGGAAAACCCTGCATCCGTAGGGCTTATCTACATGAATGCTATTTTTGAATTTAAAATTTATACAGTATATTCATAAAGTCTTTTTACGAATCATTTCCAGTTGTATTCAGTACAAAACTTATCAAATTTACATTACTGGTATAGCTCTTAAAAGCTGCATATAATCGATTTTATAATAACTTGGGTGAGTTCCATGGAAATAATTAAATTGTTTATACATCATGATATACGATGGGTATAAAAATTCTAAAAAAAGAAATAAGTGTTTTGTATCAATTTGTAAATTATAAAAACTCATGTATTTCTAAATCATGTAGATAGAAAAACTTATCGCAATATGCATGATGTCGAATACACGTTCATCGGAATACAAAGCAAATCAAATAAACTCTCAGGAATAAATCCAAAACGATCGTATTGCAAGTTTCAATATTTTATATTTACAAATGAATTAATTTTCTTAAACACGTTTTAAAGTTGAATATATTGGGATAACATTGTTCCATAACTCGAAATGGCATTCTTGAAACCAAAACATGTAAGTCATGTACATGCAAAGTGTATATATCAAATCTGAAATAACTTTATTTTTTAATGTTTTCTTTATATATAATTAAGTGTTTTTTTAAATATTCTGTTTTTTATATGATGTTTGTGATTGAATATTTCAAAATTAGAAATAAACTTAGTAATTAATATGCAGAGAGCAAATTGTACTGAGTGTTTTCTAATTCAATGGTTTTCTTTTTAAACAAAATAATTAAGGGATGTGTGTTTATCTAAAGAGAACAGAACAAATGAGTGTTTATGGTTAATGAAGTATAGTGACTTAGAAGTGGCTTCGATGAGCTATGAGGTTCTATCATAAAGTGTGAGAAAAAAAAATCGAAATAAAATGTGTTGTGGAAAATATGGCGATGCCTAAAACTGGTTTATCCGAGGTCGAGCCCCGTAACGGCATTTTTGAGCCGGGGGTATATGCAACTCTGTGGTTGCATTATTTGTTTCTCCAATAAAAAGTCTCGTTTCTTTGATTTCTTAATGATGAGATGAGTCCGAAATTGATCGACGTTATATGGTTACGAAAGTTGGGAGGTGATTATTTATAAACAGCTAAGGTGCGCACGTTTTGCTTAAACCAGAAAACGTAATTGGGTGCAATTCAAAGTTTGCGTTATTTTTACGTTGGCGGAGGGAAATTAGAATGTCTATTACAATTTTGCCCGTGTAGGCCTTTCGAAAGGAGTGGGATTTATCAGATTCGATCAAAGAATGGAAGCTGAAAGAGCCATCCAGGAGTTGAACGGAACTATCCCGAAAGGATCTACGGAGCCCATCACCGTGAAGTTCGCGAACAACCCCAGCAACAACAACAAAGCGATTCCGCCCTTGGCCGCGTACTTGGCTCCACAGGCGACGCGTCGCTTCGCTGGACCAATCCATCATCCGACTGGTCGATTCAGGTAAGCTGCGATATGATGGAATGTGAAATGACGGAGGTGGAATGAGGAGATATGGTTATATGTTTGTTAGGTTAATATGTTGCTAATTGAACCTGTTCGTTGTTCTAGGTACTCTCCGCTGGCCGGAGACCTGTTGGCCAACTCGATGTTGCCTGGAAACGCAATGAACGGATCCGGATGGTGCATATTTGTTTACAACCTGGCGCCGGAGACCGAGGAGAACGTCCTGTGGCAGCTGTTCGGGCCCTTCGGAGCAGTACAAAGCGTGAAAGTGATTAGGGACCTGCAAACAAACAAATGCAAAGGGTTCGGCTTCGTCACGATGACAAACTATGACGAGGCTGTGGTTGCCATCCAGTCCTTGAATGGTTACACACTAGGCAACCGTGTGTTGCAAGTAAGCTTCAAAACTAACAAGAGCAAGACAACATAGAGCGCGCTATCGCCTCCCCTTCCCATCGGATCCCGCCCAGTTCGCCCTTCAACCCTCTAGTATTTAATTTATTAATTTATTACTGCATCACTTGAGTCATGTGATCTGTTAGATATTTAATGCGAAAGGGCTAGCAGGGCGGGATGCGATTCGATTCCCCACGACCACCAAAACCCCACACCGTACACTCCCCCACACCCCTCGAGGGATCCCCCGCAAATGAATTAAACTAAGAAAATGAGAAAAAAAACATAAAATGAAACACGATGCAAGAAGTATTGAAAACAGACAAGAAAGAGATATATATATATATACCCCTCCTAATGAGGTTTCTAACGAATCTCGCTGTACTTAAAAAAAAATAATTAAAAAATACGATGCTAGTCAGAAGTGCGAGCGCGCATTTCCCATAGCAAATTATGAGATCTGTATTTGTTGAAGGAAGAATGAATGAAAAATTTCGTGCCATCTCTCTGCGATTTGAGATTGTTGGGAGTCACCCCAAAGATACAGATTATGCATAGTAAATTATTAATCATATAGTATTTATTGATTTTTTTCCGTATTGTAACTCTTATGATTTGACTTTTAGTAATTAATTTACGTTACATTGTATTTATATGTATGTGTTTTGTGTATTTATATATGCATATATCCCTAGTCTCAAGAGCGGCGTCTCCGGGGTTGCTACGCGCGAACGACCATCTGATGGTCGTACCTGGGGGACGTTTGCCTATAAAATATTTGTGTTTGAAGAAATGATAGAGGTTGGAAAAGTAATAATAATAATTGGGGCCGGATCGGCGGTCTGCCCAGAACAAAAAAAAAACTAATGAACTTCGTTCAAGAAGTTTAGAAATATATATATAAATAAAAACATTTGAAAATAGAAGATTAAAAACATTCTATTAAATTTTCGCAGCAGATTATGAAGCAGCAGGAACGAAGCCGCCCGCCGAGCCGCGCCACTCTTATTTCTGTGTGTTTGTGTTTGTTTAGTTACACGATTATTAAAAAAAAAGAAACAAGTGTTACTTTAACTTTTATTTTATTTTTTCGTTTCCAAAGCCGAAACGATTCAAAATTTTATATCAATATATATCCGCGTATATATATATTATTATATTATTTAATTACAGTGGTTTTGCTTACCAGAGAGTACATTAATTAATTGCAAAAGTAAATAACTCGAGAGAATTGAACTCGGTTTTTATTTTTCTTCTAATTATTTTTCGATTCGATTTGTATTTCATTATTATTGTATTCGATTATTAAGAATATCAGAATGATTCAAAGATTTTTTTTTGTGAAAAACAATTAAGATTAAGAGAGAGAGATGTAAGCGCAAAACGGCAACGGCAATGCTTCCGCGAGGCCACAACACTAAACAAAGGTATAAAACAATTATACCAAAAAAAAAAAAAATAATTTGTAACGCTATGAGAGAGTTACATGAGAATTTCAGATTTCCGTTAATTTGTGAGTTATATATTATTCAATTTCGTTTATTGATTTTTGTTTCACACACACACACACACATACACACACGCGCCCTTACCCCCAATTTAATTAATTTATTAATTTGTTTCGATTACTATTATTATGATTTATTTTTTTTCTACTTAACATTATTTTTCTCTGAACTTTAGTTTATAATTTCCTTTTTATTTCTTTATTATTTTTTTTTATTAATTATTATTTAATTATCATTTGGTTTGGTTTCAATAAATTTAACATTCGATAATAATTTTATCTTTTTATTTTTATTTATTTACTTTCTTAATCTTTATGCAATTGTTTTATTATTTCAGATTTATTTATTGTTTATTTTATTTATTTTTTTGATTTTTTTTTACTTTATTCTTTGATTTACTTTATGTGTTTGTTTTTCTCTTTTTTCCTGGTTGTGCTGTCTCGTATGGGGTATTAGCTGGCGTCCATGCAACCAAGCACAAGCCTCGCGTTTTGTTCCTGTGCATATGCAAATCTTTTCGATTGAAATCATTGTAGGGAACGGAACGCGTTGCCTACCCTTAACCACCCAAGAACTAACCAACCACTTCCACTGATCTAGAAACGTGCAGAACAAAGATATTTTTGTAAAAAGTCGTTAAGCCGAAGGGAGGAGAAAAACTGGGTATATTCGTATCCGTATCGCGAGTCGGTTTGGTTAGTCGAATGAAAGAAAGAAAGATGATGACGATGATGATGAATTGATGTTAGGTGATTAGTTGTTTATCTGGGATAACTGAGAAAAGAAACGCACACGGCCGCCCGGCAGCGCAGATACGAACATGTACATAGCATTTAAGTGACCGAACTAAGTACAATTTAAGACTTTAAGCTTTACACGCTCAGCGGTCTTGGTCTGGCTGGTATCGTGTGAAAGGCAACGAAACTCTTCACACTCCACCAGCTCCGGCACCGCAACGCAACCGACGCCAAAAACGCCGTTCGAAACACGCCATAAACCTCGTCCGAAGTCAATGCGGTCGCGCCTTTGACACATCTAGGTACCAAAACATGTAGCATCCACCCGAGGACGCCCAGCACCTAGGTACAGCAACCTTGGAGTCGTAGTTACACTTGCCGCGTCGACGCCGATTTGCGGGGCGACCCCTCGTCCTGATCCTGTGGTTTCGCAGGAAAGGAGATCACCGTTCATCAATGCCCGTGTGTGCATAGACCAGTAATCAGTGATTAACATACAACAAGTGCGTGTGTAACATGTAGCTGCGACGTCAAGATGACTAGGTGCACCATGTAACTTGTAATATCGATCGCGTACCTTCGAACTGGAGGTAGAACGGAGTTGGAGGCGAGAACCGCGCGGACCGTTAGTTAACATCTTCGGATCGGACCAGAGCATACAAAAGCATATATCAATCAGATGGCAATAAATGTTACGAAAATAATAATCGGACCCCGTGAGCTCTCGCGATGGCTGTGTTTCTTCAAAATAAATAAAAGACGTGGACCGACGGTCCACCGGAATCGTGCAATCCGGTTTACTGTGCAAACCAAAAAAAAAAACAAACTGTGCAGCCAAACGTAAACTACAGTGATTAAAAAAAAGCAAAATAGATATAGACTAGTTAATGTTAAAGGATTAAGACGACGGAAAGGAAAAAAACATAGTTAAGACAATCATAATCGAAACGTGTTTATTGCTTTCTATTCTCGTTAAATTTTCTTTTGAATCGATGTCCCGTGTAAATTTGCGGAATGCCGCTTCTACTTCCGGAATCATCCAAAAATTTCCACCACAAATGGGAAGCAAATGCGAAAACGAATACGGGTATTTAAATGTCTACAAAGAAGGAAAGTTAAAAAAGAAGGAGGTAACTCAGAAGCTCAAGTAAACGTACGCGTATATCAAAAACTAAGTAAATGTTAAGCGTTTAAAAGCGCATCCGTTTAATAAAAAGTAATTAAAAAAATAAAATAAAAATAAAACCTTATTATCGTTCAAAAAAATCTTAAAAATATGAAAATCAAAGAAAAAAAAAGTCGGCGTCGTCGGATGACGGCGACGTCGACCTCTAGGTGTGTAACTTTAAGTATTCGCCAAGTGCTCGCAGGATGTTTATTGTTTCCTGCGGGCCGCCGTGAATTTGATGTCGTTTTCATGTTCGCCGATCGATTCGCGCAATTCGTGTTAGCTTTAAGGACGTTATTATTATCCCAAAAAACGCGCATTTCGTTTGTTTTGTTTCCTTTATCCCACTTACCGGGGAAACCTTACTAGGCCAACATGCTGCTGATTTTCGGCTTCCACTTGCCGTGACGTCGTGTGCTCTCTGGTGTGGAGGACATTTGAATCTAGTACGGAACTAGACACTAGGATGTGATCATGTTTTGGTTTTGGTGTGCGTGGACTTTGGTGGCGACCGCGAGGTTCCGGACTGGTGCCCGTCGCGAACGACCTGATTGTGATAGAAACCGCGGGTCCTGATCGGGATACTGCCATAGGAAGGCAGATCTAATTTATATACAATATTATAAACTTATAAGGACGAAAATGAATCATTACGTGCGGGAAGCGATATATGCGACGGCGACTTTACCGGAAGAAAAAGATATATATATAATATACATATACACACATTTATTAAGAATTAAGGAAGCGATCGGCCACGGAGTGCTGAGACACAGACAGTGAGCCCTCCCCCAACCTTCGAATAGTCGGCATTCTTTATATAGGATAATAACTAATAATTAGTCAAAACGTGAATGAGACGGTTGAAATAAATAAATAATATGAGACTTATATATTATAAAAAAAAAATAATGACAAATATATATTATATATATATATAAACAAATATATGAGAGAAAAATCTAAGGCAATTTTGTTGAAATTTTATTGTACACTCTTGTAAATTTTAAGATGTTGACTTGGTGACTTTTTCGTCGATGGGGCGCGGGCCTTGTCGAGAATCGAGGACTGCGCCGATATTCAGCCTATATGATTAATTACAAAAGAGAATATATAAGGATTAAAAAATAAAAACAAGGAACAAGTTTAATTTTTTCGCGTATAGACGTTCTCATGCACAATCTAGTGACGTCAGAGGATATTAATAATAATAATAATTAATGAACATTTTAAGAATGAATGAAAAAAGAAGATAATTAAAAACTGTGTTGTTAGGATTATACGTATTGGTTATATTCTGGCCTAAATTGAAACTCGTGTAGACTAATCCACATACAGAACAACGATCTATTGCAAATGATTATAGCGAATATTATATGTCTGTCGGCAGTGCTTGTTTACCTTAGCTTCTATTTGCTACATATACCTTTTTGCTTACCTTTTTGTATTATTAAATATGAAGGACGGGAGGAACGATAGGCGATGCGCGTGATAGGGAAGAAAAAGTGAAAGGAGGAAATTGACGGCGGAGGAAAAGAAACGGAAAAAGCTAATGATTATTACGTATCACTATCTCTACATGGGAGTTATTCTCTTTGTGTGTTGTGTAGACCTCTAGCATAGGTGTATATTATATAGTCATATTCCTACTGATTACTTTCTCTATGTGTGTAGCTGTTGTGTTGCGGGGGGACGTCCCGGCGCCCGTGTTTTTCGTTTTCTTTTTCGGAAAATATTGCAGAAAAAAGTACGAAAAACTGAGCAGATTTGCGTTCGCATTGATTTATATATTCCCGCGTTTGCACGCGTTATTTTATGTATCCCTTCGGTTCCGTGCGTCCTCAGGACGGCCGCCCCCCTCCGGCCGCGGTCATGCGTCCCGCCCGGCGCCCGTAAGGGCCATAGCTCAAATATTGTTGTGACGAGATGCATTCCATTATTTAAAAAAAAAACACAAAAAAAATGCAAAAAAAAACCACTGATTATTTACATATAAATATATATATATATATATAAAAAAAAACAAAACAAAAATTATATATTATATTATATACTCATACCTATATTCTATCTGTTTTTCATAAATGATAATGGTGGTTATTATTATATATAAACGAGTGCAAAAGTTATATGTACAGAGGTTATATTATTAGGAAGTGCAGTACCTCATAAACTGTAATTCATGCAATAACTTATTATAAGAAAGTTCTTATTACAATATATTTAGCTTTAGGATAGGAGAGGCGAGGTTTGTACGATCTACTAAAGAAATGATAAACAAATGTTAACAAGAAATAAGTGAATGAGAAAATACAATAATGATTTACGAAAACCGAAGGAGAAGATGTAGTTTACCAGAACACACCCATGGGCGGATGGAAGGACGGCCGCCAATTTTGCATATTTTGATTAATATTTTTAATTCTTGTTGATTCGTTCATTTCCCTCCTGATATAATAAATAATGTGAAAAAAAAGAAGTTTATATATATATATACA